AGGAAACGATAATAGCTGGTAATGTAATAGTGCACAACAACGTCGTTTCCTTGGCAATGTGTAGTTCAGGGGTGAATGTAAAAATAAAGCAGATTTGAGGTGACCTGGATCAACGCACGCACCTACTTGGCTCCAGTGAGCAATGATCATATTAATCAACGTATGAGACAATTATAGAAGGTGAGAGTACCAAGCAGTTGAAATGGTAGTTCAGCTAAGAAAGGCCATCGTCTGAATTGCTAAAATAATCAAGCACATTAGCATTAAACCTGGTCAATATTCGTGAGGTTTAGCTACGCACAGCCAGGTTTGTGAAATGTGAAATGTGGCTAAGTTTTCGCACAGTTACCTAAAACGCTTGGGTTGGTAATTAGAGCGGCTAACCACACTTGTGTTCAAGTTGATTGACACAAGACAAGTTCAGTCAGGTAGACCACACAGTGGTATTAACAAATGCGACCTTAGTTATCTTGCTACTTTGTACTGAGGTTCATAAATTTAACTTACATAGTGATAGGTCGGTTTAATTACTAAGTGCTACACAATGGACAGTTTATTTCGTACTAGGAGTTGTGCACCAAACCACAGGATTGTATTTCGGGATAGAGTGGTCCATTCGTTCGGCCTCGTACTCTTCAGCTTGAGTAACTTGACCCATTAGTACCCGCTACCAATGTTCCGGCGAACAGTAATCTACCACAAACTATGGACAAATGCAACTAAGCTATTCATCACTGGTATGGGCTTAAAAGTGGATTTCATGACTCCACAAGAATTCAGACAGACATCGAGTGGGTTATCTCATCTGATTGTTTCACCAAAAACCTTCTGTGACCCTCCCAAGTTAGACAGCAAGCACCTCCAATCGGGAGCACCAAAACGCGTCTAGTCGACCGTACCAACCCAGGCGACCATTTGCTTCAAACTCCACTGTATGTCGTAGCATATCCTTGTACCGAACCGACACACTGCACCTACAGGCATAGCTGAGGAGAGGGATGCTACTAGTTGACCACCCATGCAAACGCTCTGTTTGCTGCAGAAATCAGAGATTGGGGTCATGTGTAATGACATTAGTTAGAAGGATAACTGGATGCTTATGATGGAGTGGATTTCGTATTTTCCGGTGATTGTAAGCCAGAGAATACGTTCCACAGAAAGCCTCTAGCAGAGCACACAAATGAAGCAACTGACCTGATTCATCTTCAAGCCCTGCCAGGAATGTTGCAACCTATGAATCCTTTGTGAAACCTATGATGGTATAGTTTGGCAGTTTGTAAGCACAGGTTCACGTTTTACTGAGCAGAGTTAAAACGGATACAGTATTTGTACAAACCCCGAAAACCAAGTCAAAATTGCTCCATGTTTAGCCATATTGTTAATAATTTCGAGAACCGGGTTCAAAAGTGCTGAAATTCAAACCAGCAATCCGGTCACTATAGAATATGACGCAGTGAACCAGGGAGCATACGCGTAGTTCAGTCAGCCACGATAAGCAATTTCCAAATGTCCGAACAGAAGTTTAGGTGAAGAAAGCGTAAACACTGTAAAGAGTGTGGGATGTGGGAAGTCTAACGGCAGCAATAGACGACTTACAAAGTTGCAAAAACGCTGTTCAGTAAAGCAACATAAAAACTAAAGCCACCAGCTTCTGGCAAATTTGAACGCAGATCCACATTCAGACGGTTGTAATATTTTAGAAAATATATTTCATCGAAATTGACGGTTATCGGCAACCTTCGCCAAAATACTTTCCCATACAGTAACCACTTATTGGTGAGACACTTAGGACTGCACACTTCACTAAGGTGAGTCGGATAAGCCTAAACGGGCTTCCTGCATCGTGACACAGAGAATATGAGAGAACTCGTCGAGATGTGTTTTGTGAGGCTAGAAAGGATTCGTACTCATTAGAGCGACGACCTTTAGTAACAAATATATTTCAATCCATAGAGAACTAACAGTACCGAATCGGACAACAGCACTAATGATCCATCCTTGTCATTCGTATTACTTGATGCCAGTGGAATAGGAAGAAATCAATATTGCACCAACCAAGACGGAACACTATGGTATCCGTTAAAGAATGTCACAGTGGACTGATGGCAATTTTACTTGAATAGCTCTGTTCGGACGCCGTAGAAAACCTTTACTGTTATTTCTATCGAATCGTAGACACTGTCATAAACGACGATCCTTCAAACTAGCCAAGTTTTGGCCTTCATAGGTTCTATTAGCCAGTACAGTTCATTTTACCGTGAGCATTCATATTGGAATATGAGTTAGCTTTCAGCAGTACGTACGTGAAGTTAACCAGACAGATTATTCCTGTACGTCCAAGTGGTGAACGAATGCTCACGGAAGGGCAAGATGAGAGCACAAGAATATTCGGAGGACACTTTTCGGGTGACCTATATTCAAGTAAGGCGTCAAAGCATCAAAGGTGACCAGGATATCGAGGTAGCAGTGAGTACGGTATTCACGATGTACAAAGAACATGCATTTACACTGAGTTCTTATCGCGAGTGACCCCCAATCGGGAAAATTCTGCCAGGCGAAACAACATGCAACCACACGGTTCGGAACGATCGGGTGGAGGACACGACATGCATACCCCGGTATGAATCAAGACCCACAATTTCGAATTGCATGTTAACTGTGTGGCATTAGCCAAACAAAGCGAGGAAACAGGGGTCCATTTTTGTGCATATATGCTTACATACAAACCGTTGTAAAGAGAGAAACCTTTCGCCGCAAAGCCAATATCATCAAGTACAAACTATGGAACAGTAAACGACTCATATGCACATAATTAAAAAATGAGCATTCCCGCTCGTCTTCTTGAAGTTTCACGGATATTCATTGACTATCACGCAATTGTAAACGGACGCTGCGAAGCAGTACCACAAGTTCCGTAATAAACCCCACATTCCATTAGACGTGGGGCAGAGCTTCGAGAAAATCAGACCGCGCGCATGCCTCATTAGTAGTATCACCCGTTACACCAGTAGTGAACAGCCTATGTGAAGCTTTGGGCACAGCGCATAGTAGTTGCGGAACACATTTTAGGTAGTGTTATCCGAGTCAGCTGACAGAGACCATTTTCAATGAGATTGGTGGAGGAACAGCGGACAGGTTTCATCTAATCCACTTTCCAAGATCTACCCTATCGCCACAATTGTGCGAGTGGCAGCGTAACCAAATTTCCCTAGGTATATGGCTAGGTTATGACAGATGCAGCACACTTCGCGTGTCATACCTGCATGGGTTTTTCTTAGCACAAAAGCTACGTGATGATCCACTGCGTCTCTGATTTCTGACTCTATTGAAAATACGTTTTAGCAGCAATGTTATGGTGAGTTGGAGGTGGGTGAGGAGAACCTGGTGGTTAAAATGTTGGTCCGCTTTATAACGATCTTCGCATACCAGAATAACGTGTGTTCACTTCTGAGCCACATAGGATTCCCGATATTTTGGGAATTGGAGTGAACAGCCAGAGTAGAGATAGCATTTTGGAAAACGAACACTGGATTCCGCTACCTCTAATTCAACCTCGGTCTAAAAAAGTAGTGAGCAATGATGCATTACTACTTAGAAGGTTGGTGAAAACCCTTTGACAACCAACGACCATTCTTTGGAGACCACGATGTAGGACGGGCTCAACAGTTTCCAACGACCTAAACTCCTAACAGGAAACGCATTCACTGAAGACTTGCTTAAGCAAATTTTACTAACAGCTCTCAGTCGGAAACGCAAAAGACCTGGCATCTAAAGGCTATGTTCACGTATGACTGTTCGTTTTGACATAGAAATCCCTATGATTTCACGCACTACAGTCCAGTCAGGCTTCCCATATGACTTGCTTCCACACAGTTTGCATTGAAGGAGATAGGCGTTTTAGGTGGTTCTAGCTTGACTCTAGTATGCCGGGTCCATACCAGTGTGTTGGCGTAGACCATTGTCCATTCAATCAGTGCTTCGCGAGCGAAGGTCGGAAAGGGTCGAAGTTTTCTTGTTCAGATAGGTCCTCTACCACATGACAACATCCAGCAAACAAATAAGAAATATCGGACTCATGTCTACGCGAAGACCTTCTAGCATCCCTTAAAAGTTATCTCGAAAAAAGTTCTGAAATGATCCGTCGGTAATATTAAGCTGGATGCATAGAAGACTAAAGGTGGCAGGGGGTCAAGAATGCCATTTCTTTCAGTTCGATGCTACAGCTTAAATAGCATACGAAGCAGCTTAAACTGACATCGACTCACCTTTAGATTCCTATGAGGAAGTTTGGGAGTTCGTGTCATCAGTCTAAAAAAAGGTATCATTTGAAAGCATCTCAACTTGGACTTAAGTGATCAGATGGTCCCCAGCTCGGGAATTTCAAACTAGGCTGGGACTGACATTTTGAAAGACCATTAAAACGGTACACCGCATCAATAGCGTATTGCGAAGTCAGCTGGTGACTGGTGAAACTGGAAATTATGCTCATTGGTAGCATGTGTAGTGTAGCTTGGCTGATCGGCCTACCCTGCTGCTTGATGTTTAATGGATCGATTCTGTTACGCAAGTGTGTCGTCTCCATAGTTTGTTCCTCCGTCACTTTGACCGTGGTGCTCTTCAGAGGTGCATCGGATACGGAGTCACGACCGGATTCTATCAGCCGAATGGCTAGACAGCAACCCTCTTTAAGTCACACAATCCGCCTGCTTGACACGGCACATTCATTTTCGGCTACTGATGTGTCACAGAGTAGTTGGAATACAACGCTCTAATAAATAGATGAGTTATTCCAAGCCCAACCCGTGATAATACCCGTATCAAACTGTCTTCCAATGTCAGCTCACACTCTGTGTCTCTACACACCCATGGTGTCAACTGAAAGCCAATTCTGCAAACTTAGTTTCGACAAGGAAGCAAAACCAACCGGAGACGTACCACCAGGAGGACAGTACTGTATAAAGCAGCTACCACGGCCCAAAGATGGAAGGCATAAAAGAATTCACAATATGTTTTTCTGGAGAAGAACGTACAGAGTGGGATATTAACATTTGATTTTACGTAGAGACAGAAAAACTGAACATCAATCTGGAGATAAACTAAAAAAATACACAAAGAGACAGGGTGATAAAACTTTTGAATAAGTGTTCAATCTTCCTCTACATCAGAGCGGTCCGGGTCATCGTCCTCCTCATCTGAGCTGAACGCAGCACGTGCTGCGCGACGTTTCTTTTGTCTCTTAGAAGCGGCACGGGAACGCGTTGATCTACTAGAGGTACCTTCGGTTTGAGGTGGCTGTTGTGCTTGCGAGTCTTTATCGGTCTCCTCCTCCTCTGCATCGCTTCGAATTACCGGGGCAGTGGTGCGAGTGGCCCGACGCAAATTACGACGAATTGATTCACCAGTAGGGCTGGAAAATCGGCCTTTACGTCTCGCCGTCTTTGCAGCCATTTCTGCTCGATGAACCGCGGCTTCATCAGATACACCTTTTTCATGAAACTATGGATGTAAAATAAAATGCGACAACTTATTTTTTGGTGAGTAGTGCAGAGTCAGTGCGTGCAAAGATGTAGTTGTGTTTAAGAGGGTTGGTGGAGCAATGCGGGGCAAACCAAAAAGATCAAGTCAAATAACAATAGAACACGCATCAGATGGACCAATAGCGAGAAGTCTCGTGGATGGTAAATGCGTTCAAAAAAGTGTTCAAAAAAGTATTCTTCGAATAAATGTCCTGCACAAAGGTCGCCTCATTATTAAGTTTTCACTATCAACCTGACATCGGGTTGCTGGCTTGAAATGGATGTCCCATAGAGAACAAACGCTTCTCGATGTCAGCAAAACTGGTTCACACTGAGTTCGAAAATGCACCAAAATAGCGAACGATTTAATATTCCGAAAAGCGCAAATGCGTTGGCAAAATATGGCAGTGTTTGCTTTTTTCAAGGGAGAGACTAGTTGTAAGAAGATGCAACTATCACTTGGTTCTTCAAGAGTGTGTTCATGGTCCAGGGAAGAAAAAACATTTTTAGTTGATTATTCGACGTGGTCGCGCGAGGCAGGTCGACTGTGCACTTATGTCCTCTCGAAAAGACCCCGATTTAGAAGCAACTGTTTCCGTAGGCCCTTTTAATTGGTCTGTATACAGAAAAACAGGTACCGTGATTGTTCCCCCTGAAAAGGTCTTTACATGAGCTCAAAAAATCCAATCTCAGTTGATAATTTGCAGGAAGGACTTAATCATTCAAAGCAGTGGCCTCATCCGCAGGCTGGTCTCCACATAAAAGCCCAGTGAAAGAATGCTGCATTACGGTCTTTGTTGAGAGTGAGTTTTGTGCCACAAGGACATCTTTTCAGGAGGGAACCGGATTAAATTCGGGGTTCCACTTTCAGGAGTGGAAGAATATTGAAGGGAACTACTCTACATAGGCAACGAACGGTACCATCGCTTGCTTCTGGAATTGCCAGTTTCAAACTCGGTAAAACACTCTAATATGAAAAACAAAGGAAAAAATGGAATGAAAGGAATGAAAAAGTGGGCTGATTTTCAATATAAACCCGTGAGGACTGTTGGACATTTCCGGGTAAAAATTCATAAATATTACGAAAACATCGCTCACCTCCTTAACTTTGGACTCGAATTCTTCCAGTCTGGCCAGACCATCCGGTTTGGTGAACTTCTTGGCATTGGTAATGAGCAGGTCAAAAGCAGAATACACTTCAGGAACGCAAAGCTTATCCGCAAAGGCTATAATATTTTCGTACAGAACTCGCATTGTGCGCTCATTGAAGGAAATAACGGTTAGACAATAGGCCAAGTCACGCCACTGGCGTTGAGTCCTGAAGAAGTGAACAAAATTATACCATCGTATAGAGGTACCACACAGAGGTAAAATAAGTGTACTGAACCTGGAAACCGACGGATTGTATCAAACGGTGTTTTAAGTCTGATTAGGGTTGACTGAAATAGGCAAAACATATTTACCAACCCATCTGACAAATAGGCTTGAACAAAAGAAACAATTAAATAGCGTGATTCTGGAAAGTGAAAAGCCAGTAAAGGAAGACACAAGGCAAAAATATAGACACCAGGAGTTGTAGCTAAAAACTACTATTAATGTTTAATTCACACAACTATCGTTTGAACGGTCGTCCTCCTGTTCTGGCTTAATTATTCTGGTGAGCCCACACCAAAGGGAAGCATTGGGGTTGAGTTTTGCCCTTATTAGAGCTTATTAGCAGTGCATATCCAATGGCGGACGCAAACAGTTCAGAACAACAGATCCTTAGGCAGCGTGTCCCAATCGGATAAAATCCACTTACCTGGTCGAACGGAAGCGAGCACATATCTTCTCCACGAGAGTTTCACATAAGCGTTCTCTTCCAATAAGCGGCAGAAGAAATCTGAAAACGGGAAAAAATTTCGCGTGTTCAGTGTTATGGAGCTTTCGGAACTATTCGCGGTGCACCAGGTGAAGAAAAAACACGCTTACTCGACGATGGAGTGAAAGTGGTCCTCACTAACACCAACGTCCGGATCGCTTAGACGACTGATAATGTCGGGCACAACATTGTAGAGCGCCGTCCCCTTTTGAGCCAGCTCCGTGAAAAATTGTCGGGCAAGTACGTTGAGCCGATCAATCTCATCGACTAGACAAACTGTCATTTCACTGATCTGTCCCTTAACCTGCAGTGACAGAATTACAAAAAAATGGATCAGCCCATTCGAAATGAACTACAGTCACATTAACACGAAATCCTGACACTGAGAACTTCAGTGTTGAAAATGAGTACTTTTATTCTACAACTCGACAGCGGACCATCTGAAGAGAGGTGACAGATAATATACTTGGAGATTTGTTGACAGCAATGGATCGATAAAATGAAGCCATATAACGGAGCAATTTCGGAACCGAAGCGCGACCGATCCCTGATAACACATGCCAAACGTAAGTGTTTGACGTACGGAAGCTCGATGTTGTTGTGCTAAAAAGGGAAGAACAGCATACGCTGGCTGTAGCTGGAAATCATGAAGGGTGCGCCAGCAATTGGCCTGGAATCAAGTTTCTTCGGCAAATGAAATGAAACCTTTGTGAAGGGCCGTATGGGCATCTCCGACCTACACATTTCTGATAACATTACACGCTGCAAAAAAGGATTGAATAATGTCCACACAAGAGTATTGCCTGTCATTTGTGGTTATCGGCTACGTATTTATCCATCAAATGGACCAGTGAAAAAGCAGCCAAAAATGCCTAACCAGTGATCTGACATTCAAAAAAGAAACGACATGGGGTGGAAGTTAGCTATTTTGTCGCCTCTTAGCACGGAGCGACCGTCCACATAGACCAGAGTTCCTCAAAGCAATATTATTTAACGAAGTGAGATTACAGAAGAACGATGCTGATAATTTTCATGCTACGATTCATTGAAAAATTAAAAAAATCGTTCAGCTGTAGCACCCTTTCGGTGCCTAGCTGCCATGCCACACGGAAGCAGGAGGGCTGGGATACTGCCAGGTTGTCCAAGCATAAATAGGGGAAGTCGAAAGGCAGAGGTCGTGTTCGAACCACGGACCTTCCGGTTAGTAAACCACTTGGTCCATCTCGCCTCCCAATGATTCGTTTTTTAGAAAGGAGCGTCTCCTCCACGAGTAAGTGGTCTTTTACTAAAGGTGGTCTGTTTCAATGAAAAATTGAGGATTAAAAAGTTATCCCTTATCAGGGGATGGTTTGAGTATAAAGGTAAACTGTACGCCAGGCGGTAACGGTCGGATAATGTAACGGAAAAGCACATCACATACCTTGACCATATCATTGAGGATCAAATGGCTGAGAGTGTTCAACGCATTCGTTCGCACTTTGGCTGAGCTATCTCGGAGGCGGGCATACATATTTGGCGTCCACGGTTCAAGTAGATTAGGAAAACGCCGACACAAATCTCCTAAAGCTACGATGAGATTTGCACGCACCACTTCTGACTGGCTTTTCTCAGCCATGGTGAAAAGAAGCTGAAGACGAGGTTCACACACTTCCGAATTAACGAGCATCATTTTGGCCAGAGCCAAACTAGCTGATGCCTGAAATGGGAACCAATAGATTAGTCTTCCCTGAAGGGTAAAATGTACGACGAAATAAACTGAAAAAGTGAAATTAGTTGGAAAAATTCACACAAGAATCACACGGCAACATATCCCCACAGGGCCATCATACAGCGCCCATTCTTGTGTGTAAACAGGTGTTGAAAATTATTTAGGAATTTATATCAGTCATATGGACGAAGACCGAAGATCAAGGTCAGGTCCAAATCTTAGTCGATGAGTTCAAGGACCTGCAAACTTGTCTTTTAAGAAACATCCCAAATATTCTCGGTTGACTCTGTGGATATTAGCTATCGCGGAACAAACTAGAACTACACAGAACAAAAAGAAATGAAGGTATCCCTTTCTCTAGGGGGCATAGCATGCAGTGCGAGCACCTGGGGCTGACTGAGTTACGCATTACAAGAAAAAAAAAATTCCTCAAATCTAAGTCGACGAGGGAGAATTACTCCAAAGGGGAACTGTGCAATAAACAATTGTGATTCACACTATAATAACCCATAAGATTGAGTGAGGCAAGTGCACTTACCTGAACATTCTCGTTTGCATAACGGACTGGACTGGAACAGACGTGGGTGACCAGATTGAGAAGTGGGTAAAAGAAGTGATTTGGTGCCGTCAGCAGTTCGTTGTCACAGATGTGGCGAATGTAGTCAGCTTCGGCGTCATCGGCCGCCACTCCTACCAAACCACAAGGATCATCCGGTACCGCATTTCGGCTCGTTCCGTTCGGGCCACTCACGGTAGATGCGTGCATGAATGAGGCAGTAGATAGCTGTAAAACACGTGGGTATGCGGCCAAAAAGAACTCGTGATGAAAACGAACAGTTTGCGCAACAAAAGAGGTGAGGAACCGAATTTCAGTTGCTTTCAATTGATTTCGAACAGTGAATATGATCAACGGAGGGTGTTTTCTTCTTAACAACCCTTTTTCTATACGGACCAAGATTCTCGATTGGTCGATATGAATCCAGCCATGGGTAAATAGGGAGTGTATGACATTTAGGTGTACGCTGTTTCTATTCGGCTTCGTTTATGTCACCAACCACCGATAAGTTCACCGGTACAATTCCCAAACATCTACGGGCAAACCTTAGAATGAAAACTCCAGAATCTGGACACTACACGTTTGGTGAAATTATGTGACAGTGAGCAGCAAAACCGACCACCCATCCTATTTTGACCACTTTGGGCCGGCGTCTTTAGATTTTCGTGGAGACCATTATAGTGAGTTATATCCTTCTAATGGTGATGGTCAGCACCATTATGTTCCCATGTCATCTCTACAATGGTCATACACACTGATTATCGTCTCAACTTAAGGGACTGACGCACGTCTGTCCACCATCAAGCATATGCATGTAACACATAACCATTCCAACTGCAGCACTCCACTTGTGGCCGAAATTTCATTCACTCAGCCGAATTTGCAATGATCGGCAAGCAGTTAAATAATACAGGACACTATAAAACTTCCACTCCTCTGAAATGAGTGATCACTGTAGAAAGGTTTCGTCCTATTGTCTTCTTCGGCATCTCGTCTGGGACTAAAACATTCAAAAGATTAAACCATGGGCGTGCGAACTGAAGCACCTTCCGACAACATTACACCACACACTACAAACGATGGATGACGCACAATTCTATTAAAACCCATCCTCATCACACTTATGTGGATCGATGATCTTAATAAAAATTTCCCGCTAACACCGGAATGCTAATTAGCATATCATCCAGGCATGCTTATCAGAAAAAAACTGAGACAAACAACATTAATCATCAAACACATGAGTCGTTTTATGCAAAAAAGGAGGTTGAAGGTGAAGTGCAACCTACCCGCGACTGACGGGCATTTTTACGTGACTTTCGCTTAGACTTGGCATCAGCATCCTCCTTGAGTGCAGCACGACGTTTCAATTCATTGAGTACAGCGAATTCCAGGTGCACAAGTTGCTTTAGACAAGCATGCCCAGCAAGAGCCATAAACCGGGATAAACAGAACGACGGGCACGCTAGTGCAACTGGTTGAGTGAATTTCTCTGGATCTTCTTTAATCTGTTGCAGCAGATTAGGAATTTCTTCATCCCCTACTTTTGCCACGTCGGTTGATATGGGCGCACTACCCTCTTCCGAGGAGTGCGTCACCTGAGCAGCTTTCTCCGTCGTCTGACGCAGCAATTTCTCCGCAGCCGAGCTGATAAGATTCAGGGTCAGTGTGTCGGGGGATTCTGCGAGGTCGTAGATAGCACCAATGGCCTGCAATAGACAAGGGCTGTAACATTCAGTCGTTTACCCAAAATTGCAAACTGAAAAGTCGATGTTAAAGCAAATGCCGCATTGCTGGTGGGCCCGATAAGAAGTATCCTTTGGAGTATGAATGCTTCTGTTTGCTCGGCTATAGACTAAAGCATAGTGTACGGAGAGAAACTGAAGGCCAGCAGCAAAATGTCAGAGGAGAAACAACAGTCTTCATTGAAAAAAGTACTTCTGCGTCCAAGGTGCCACAAAGGAATACTTCGTTCTTAAGGCGATCCTAAGTAGGCCATCCAGCAATGGAGAAAAAGACTAACAACATAATAGACTGCTACTGCTATGTATAGTCATCTACGTGCAATAAAATCATCAGCGAAAAATAACGAAGATTCACTCCGGAGTAACCATCTTCTATTGTGAAGATTATTTTAGAGAATTATGGGATGCGTGTGCTTTCCGTCGAATTGCATTTAGATGGGGAGCGACTGACCTGTTCCATCATTGGAATCCACATGCTCTGCTGTGCTTGTGTCAAAGTAGACACCAGGATGGATCGAAGTCGTGAGAACAGAAGATGATTCGTGGGAAGACGGAATGGCTCGCTGGTTGTTTTACTTCGATTGCCTGACTTGTCGGCCTGAAACACGCAAATGACATTAGCACAGGGGATGAAATAGGCACCAAATGTACTATCGGATCTATGGTTCGTTCACGAAAACATGCACAAAGAACCCTCAGAGTGAAGACGGTTAAAGGATGTAGAAGTATCCACTGCCTCACAAGAAATTCAAAGTTTCTTTGATAAGCAGGTGCAGAGGTCACGGAGGTTTTTTACAACCACTGCACTCCTTTAGGTAAAAACGCCTTAAATAGTCAAAGCATAATACACTGGTTCAGTGACCACGAGATTGGACATTTCGGGGCCGTCTGGGATCAGTATTAAAAAACGGAAAACCTAGGAAAAGATCCTCAGAATGTTGCATACATCGGTGCTTCGTTTAGCGACACAGCGCATCCGGAATTGCTTGCTATCCAAACCGCTGGACCACAAGAGATTTCATGGCACAGATCAAGCGACTTATTAGATGTGGAATCGAAAACACATACCTAACAGGTTGTAAAAACATCGAGGCCTGTAACAGCTGATAAAGGTGGAAGCATCGCTGTGAGCGCGACGTCGCCACTATAGCAGCGATCAATGGTACTACAGAGAAGGGAGGTTGGTGAACGTAAATTGATGGAAAAATAGCAACAGATACTCAAGACCAGAATTAATGAACTACTAACTAAGAGAATGTGCTTACTACTTACTTTGGGTTTAGGGACCATTCGTTGCAACACATCACAAGTGAATTTCACACGTTCTAGATCCACTTTATGAGGCTCTTTTGCAAGGTCCAAACCGTATTGAATGAGTGTGTCTAGGTGGCTGTCAAAACTTTTGGGCCCCGATCTGAAGAAAGAAAAGATCCATACGGTGTTCAAAACGATCAATTAGGTAAGGTATGATAATCCGCAAAAGGATTCGGGAAAGTGAAATAACAAGGACGCGATAGCCCTAGAATGCAAATTTAGAAGCTCATCGGTCAGAAGTGAATACAGAAGCCCAACCTTTCCAAAGTCACGTGACTACACTGAATAAAATAGCCTAGGTAGGCTAATCGATTTGCATTTCGCTCATTGCCATTACAAGCGACAGGCGGCAATGCTGACGATGGTCACTTGAAGAATTTCGTGAAAACTAGGAAAATTAGAGGAGAGGGTAAAATGACGATAGTTCTTCCCCTAAGGCACCCAAAAAGTACCTCCGCCAAATTTTCAAGGAATTCATGGGCACGTACTTGGATCACATCAAAATTATTGGAGGTCAACTAAAACCCAGGCTCGTGGTCCTATGGTGCAATTTATTAATTTGAGGAGACTGAGAGTAGTCCGTGATCAAATGGCTTTGAAATCAACACAGGCAAATATTTCATCCACAGCGGTACGAAAGATCAAATTTTTCTAAGTGGTCATAGTTTTTTATTGGACACGGTGACACGATAACAATATCACCTTAGTTGCTCTTGCCGTTCGAGAACGCAGTGAATGTGACCAAAGTACTGAATCTAAAAAGACTATTTAGTTTGAATAGAAAAGATAAGGGTTCGCATACAACACCCTTTCGGTTCGCAGCTGTCAAGTAACCCGGAGAAACGAGAGCTGTGATGTTGTCAGGTTGGTCAAACTTGGACAGGGGCTTAAAATAGCCTGTCCCATGGTGAAGTGGAGGATGGAACGCAACAACGCAGGTTTGCACCATATCCCGGACTTACGTCGCTGTGTTTTATCAGTCATGTACAGCACAGGAGAAAAATATCATGTCAAAGGCTTGCCCTGTGGTTTATCACGGTAGTGCCAACGAAACAACAAACTGCTTCTGCTTATACAGGTCCAGCTTCCACTTACGAATAATGATGCCCTCAGCAAACTTTAGGACTCTGCTGTTTGCTGTGCTGAACACGACGTTAAATGCGGTCGCTCCACCAATCCTATGCTTGCTGTTAACCCGATGAAGGAAACCGACCAGGTGTATGCTGTTACCCTGGTTAGCTTTAATGTTGTACCACTGGATCTGACGGGCCAAACTATCTTCGTAGCCTCAGCGACACGCCCTCGAAGCCTCAGTTGTAGTTGCTATTCTGTTCTGCCAGAGTAGATAGCTGTGTATTCACACGCGATTCGGTAGATGACGCTGTATTTGGCGCGTAATAATGGAAGTTTGACTGGTGGCACTGGGATACGATTTGTGAGCAAAGACCGGCCTGGGTGTATCGTAGGGTATCTGAACTGAAGCTCTCAGACAATATGAATGCGCTGATGTCGTTTCCCATGAAAGATAGATTGAGCAGAGTGCCAAGTCAGAGTGTGGTGCTGACGCCCTCCAGCTTGGGTGTCTGCACATCATTATCATTATTATTATCAACTATAAGTACAGTGGTTGTAGCTACCACAATTTCGTTCGCCGATGATTTGGGGAGATAAGATAGGTATTGGAGAGGGGAGCCTGCATAACTGATGCGTAAATACAGAACTGACGCTGGTGTTCTAAGTGGGGGAACTGGAAAGGGAGCTATGCATCGAAGGCAATATATTGAATGCACGAGCGCCATTGAAGGTACGACTAGCAAAGCTTCGGAAAGCTTCTAATGCGTTCGTCCTGTGACCAAATCTGGGCGTTCAGATTAGCAAAAGCTGTTCTGGCGTTCCCAGTTGTAAATATCATCGTTCGCAAGACGACTGACACAGCTGCCCAGGTAGACAAACTTGTCTGCTACCTCATCCGCATGAGGCTAAAGTTCGAGCCCACGGTCTTACAGTAGCATTTTACACTTTGCAGAGGTGAAGCTCATACCAAACCGTGAGGCAGGAATATTTATATCATTTAACATTGTTTGCATTACCAGATGATCATATCGACGAAAAGCTATGTAGTCTGCGTACTCGATATCTGTAAGTGACCGGGAAAATCCGACCTAACCGGCATCAGAGGCTGATATTGGGTCTTCCGTGATCGTATGCATGACGAAGCTGGGGAGAAAAGATGAGAGAGGATATTTCTGTTCGACATTCAGAAGCTAAACTTCCCGTAGATCTTCACACGGCCGCGGGAGTTGGCGTACAGCGCCTTAAGGAGAGTTATAAATTTATGGGGGGATACCTTTGCTTCAGAGACACTATGAGAGTGTCTGACTATCCACATAGTCAAAGGCAGCTTTCAGGTCAAGGAACAACCATTGTTGGTTGCTAGAAGTAGTGTCGCTGTTACAGAATCTGTCGGAGGGTAAAGATGTGATCAATGCATCCTCTTGGTTATCCCGTATCTGCCTCTCCCTGTCTTCAGTCTACCGCCGAAGGACAAGACCAGTGAGTATCTTCGATGCGAACGTTTATGCTGAAAGTTCGTACTTGTCAAAAATAGTTCATGATCAGCATACGATTGAAGGACCGCTCTCCGTTATCTGTGCGATGAGAATCTACTCTGATTTCAAGGCGCTGAGACGACCGACTTGAACATTCATATCACCCACAAGTATTACATTATCAGTGCTTCTGGCTTGACAAATGAGGCCCGATAATTAGCGATGGAAAGTATCCTTCTCAGCTTCAGAACTGCCTGCAATTGGGGCATAAACCAAGGTCACAAACATGCACCGCTTTTTATGCCGAGAGGCGTTGAGCTTTAGTGAGCTGGATAACCTGACAGCGAAAAGACGACTGTTCACTGAGATCCAATCCAGCAAGGTGCGTCCAGCAGTGAGGCTGAGGGGAACTCCAACATCATATATGCGAAGAGTCACCGCTTCTGGGTCACTGGACACACGGAGGAAGGAATGTGAAAGACCTGAGTTTGTCCGTGGCGTTCTGAGATTCATAACCATGCTTGGGGGTGCATGATGTTTCGGGGATACAGCACACATCAATTTTAAAGGAGTACAATGTTGCAGCCAATTTGACATACAGTACGGACGTTAGAAGCTCCCTCATAGAAAGGATCTGGTGGATTTAGGAAGGTTGTAAACAGGCAGCGGGGAGCATAGGGCCCATCGATCAGATGACTGACAGTCAAATGACGCAGCGACTTTTGCTTGTGTGATGGGAAGGGGTTAGGGAGGGAAATCAGTGAACATAGAACTGTGCGAGCAAATGACACTTCCCCGTTGCTCAGGCCGAGGAACGGGGTTTATTCGAGCATTTGAGTCAAAAGTCTGTGATCCGCAAGGCATCGAACAGCAGTTTTTTGTGAACCCTTCCCGGAGCCGATGACTCAATAGTGAAAATTGGCCTAGCCGGAGGATGCAGGTGGTAAAGCATTACTGTCTCACCCCTGATGCGGTTGCGCGCAGCAGGTGGTTTTTGAACAGCACCGGACTTTCGGTTTTAAAAGTATTTCGACCATATTGAATAGTGAACCGGCAGTCACGGTCAACCGTCCGGTGATTGAAGTGTGCGGTTTTTTTATAGCTTAAATGTTCTAACACATCCTTCCTCAGGGGAATGCAGCGTCGCTGCTTTCATGAATATGGAAATACTGGTCCCCCGGGGAAATCACCTTGTTACTTTCACACTCCTTTCACCGAGGGCACTACGACTTTACCCCCAAAACCGCCTCATAGCACGACTACTCGTAATACGGGGTCTCGCTGCTCTTGGTCTGAATGCTCCCTCTTGGCCTTCCTGCAGTGTTGTGCCTTGTAGAATGAAGATCGAGCCGGCGTAGCCCGAAGGATCATTGCAGCACTTAAGCCCGACCACGCCGTAAAGGTGGCAGCTTTAGATTGGGTGTCTGCTCACTGCGTTCCTTAATTAAAAACTCGGGATAGCCGTTAGACTCGACAATCTATCCAAGATTATTGAGCTCCACTTGGAATGTATCATTAGTGCAAACCTACCCCGATCGCTTATATCGTATCGGCACGAAGCTAATGACTGTCTCCAGTTCAAGTGTACTCATACAATGGTATGGATCGGAGTTAAATTGCGTATCTCAGATGGAACAACATCCCTAATAGAATCCCTTCAATAGCAACAGAAAACTGCATGACTCCACTTAGTTCATGAATAGCTTGCGATTGGTAATCTCCAAGTAACTGGGGTATGAGAGTTTGTAAGGACCAGATAAAAGTCAATAAGCAAATGAAGAAGTTGCTGGCCGTTATCCCTTAGGTGATCATGGACTCCGAATCTACTGCGTACGTTTGCTTCTCTTAGACTTAGCCATCCTACTTGGAGGCTAATACCACCCCCAGGATGAACCACTACCTGAACGACCTTGTCCAGAACATTGTGCGGTATACCGGAACCCGGTACCACTCCTGAGTGCGCTTGTACCAGCAGATGTCAAAGGCAGAAGAGATGTTTACAGACACTCGAAAAATGATCTTTGAATGGCACATTCTGGACGTAATGAGATCGTTATGTTAGTAGCAGAGTCAGAATAGGTGGATGACCTCGACAGAGATAGCACAATGGCAACCGACTCTGAGCAAAATAAAGCACCTCTCCTGGTAAGATCATCCCTCAGAGAAAACGATCCTTACAAGAGTCAATTTGACTCTTCAAAGTATAACTCCATAGTAAACATTATCCAAAAAGAGATCACCCTGCACACACTATGATTGGTTACTTGAGGTGATGTGACAGGTAGGAAAGGCTGACGAAACACATTCCTTACTTGACGATCATTTTCAAGATGAGAAGCATGGATTTGGCATCCTCCCGACCCGATGGCGTGTCTTCTTTGGCAGAGGATATGAAACGGCGCCAGAAATGTGAGCTCATTCTGGGATTGAATAGTTCGGAATGTATCAGTTCCTGAATGATACGCTCCATACTCACCATACTTCCCATATCTGCCGTATGCAGGAATTGACTCAGGTTGGTCACGATGATGTCAGCTGTCCCGGTCGTTAGTTCGGCTTTTGGACCCAAAGGCTCATCAGGATCCACCTGGAGATAAAGCTTCCTGTGAGAGAGAAAATGACAAAAATGGTTTGTTTGCAAAGGATCTCTTATGTTATCGTGCCGATTAGTTCGCTTGCAAATAGGTAGGAGAAATTCGTTATTGTACACAGAAGGGAAGCAGTCAGACACCATGATTGATGCAATCTATTTTGGGAGGAAGACACCATCATCATTATCAAAGTCATGAACCCACGAGGAAAGAATGCCACAGTTGTGGAAAGAAAAGTATATAATAAACAAAGAAGCTTTAGCTTTTGAACAACGACGCGATATGCCATTGCAGCTGCAGAGGCACCTGAGATTTGTAGCAATGTCTAGAGAGTGAAGGTGCCAGCTGCTCCATAGCCGTACTTGAATACTATAATCACGTTTAAGAAATGTAGCAGATGTTTGCTACAAGATCCGCTTGCTAGTTTGCTTGTCCAAGATGCTGTTATGAAGACGAGAGAACAAGATATAAACAACGGACACGCTGCACCATACATGGGTGGTGGGATGAAACTGATCACTTCCCATGTGCCTGGCTGACGTGCTTAGAGTTTGGAACTGTTGAGGAGTGGCTATTGGATGGGATGATAGTGGAGAAGAGTAGTCACATCTTCTAACTTGTCCCCGCGGTCGTATATGCAAATAAGATACTCTGGTTTACGTTACCAAGCGAAGACAGATGCCATATGAAATAGTGAGCTGGATAACCTGACAGCGAAAAGACGACTGTTCACTGAGATCCAATCCAGCAAGGTGCGTCCAGCAGTGAGGCTGAGGGGAACTCCAACATCATATATGCGAAGAGTCACCGCTTCTGGGTCACTGGACACACGGAGGAAGGAATGTGAAAGACCTGAGTTTGTCCGTGGCGTTCTGAGATTCATAACCATGCTTGGGGGTGCATGATGTTTCGGGGATACAGCACACATCAATTTTAAAGGAGTACAATGTTGCAGCCAATTTGACATACAGTACGGACGTTAGAAGCTCCCTCATAGAAAGGATCTGGTGGATTTAGGAAGGTTGTAAACAGGCAGCGGGGAGCATAGGGCCCATCGATCAGATGACTGACAGTCAAATGACGCAGCGACTTTTGCTTGTGTGATGGGAAGGGGTTAGGGAGGGAAATCAGTGAACATAGAACTGTGCGAGCAAATGACACTTCCCCGTTGCTCAGGCCGATCGATCAGATGACAGTCAAATGACGCAGCGACTTTTGCTTGTGTGATGGGAAGGGGTTAGGGAGGGAAATCAGTGAACATAGAACTGTGTGTGCGAATGACACTTCCCCGTTGCTCAGGCCGAGGAACGGGGTTTATTCGAGCATTTGAGTCAAAAGTCTGTGATCCGCAAGGCATCGAACAGCAGTTTTTTGTGAACCCTTCCCGGAGCCGATGACTCAATAGTGAAAATTGGCCTAGCCGGAGGATGCAGGTGGTAAAGCATTACTGTCTCACCCCTGATGCGGTTGCGCGCAGCAGGTGGTTTTTGAACAGCACCGGACTTTCGGTTTTAAAAGTATTTCGACCATATTGAATAGTGAACCGGCAGTCACGGTCAACCGTCCGGTGATTGAAGTGTGCGGTTTTTTTATAGCTTAAATGTTCTAACACATCCTTCCTCAGGGGAATGCAGCGTCGCTGCTTTCATGAATATGGAAATACTGGTCCCCCGGGGAAATCACCTTGTTACTTTCACACTCCTTTCACCGAGGGCACTACGACTTTACCCCCAAAACCGCCTCATAGCACGACTACTCGTAATACGGGGTCTCGCTGCTCTTGGTCTGAATGCTCCCTCTTGGCCTTCCTGCAGTGTTGTGCCTTGTAGAATGAAGATCGAGCCGGCGTAGCCCGAAGGATCATTGCAGCACTTAAGCCCGACCACGCCGTAAAGGTGGCAGCTTTAGATTGGGTGTCTGCTCACTGCGTTCCTTAATTAAAAACTCGGGATAGCCGTTAGACTCGACAATCTATCCAAGATTATTGAGCTCCACTTGGAATGTATCATTAGTGCAAACCTACCCCGATCGCTTATATCGTATCGGCACGAAGCTAATGACTGTCTCCAGTTCAAGTGTACTCATACAATGGTATGGATCGGAGTTAAATTGCGTATCTCAGATGGAACAACATCCCTAATAGAATCCCTTCAATAGCAACAGAAAACTGCATGACTCCACTTAGTTCATGAATAGCTTGCGATTGGTAATCTCCAAGTAACTGGGGTATGAGAGTTTGTAAGGACCAGATAAAAGTCAATAAGCAAATGAAGAAGTTGCTGGCCGTTATCCCTTAGGTGATCATGGACTCCGAATCTACTGCGTACGTTTGCTTCTCTTAGACTTAGCCATCCTACTTGGAGGCTAATACCACCCCCAGGATGAACCACTACCTGAACGACCTTGTCCAGAACATTGTGCGGTATACCGGAACCCGGTACCACTCCTGAGTGCGCTTGTACCAGCAGATGTCAAAGGCAGAAGAGATGTTTACAGACACTCGAAAAATGATCTTTGAATGGCACATTCTGGACGTAATGAGATCGTTATGTTAGTAGCAGAGTCAGAATAGGTGGATGACCTCGACAGAGATAGCACAATGGCAACCGACTCTGAGCAAAATAAAGCACCTCTCCTGGTAAGATCATCCCTCAGAGAAAACGATCCTTACAAGAGTCAATTTGACTCTTCAAAGTATAACTCCAGGAACGGGGTTTATTCGAGCATTTGAGTCAAAAGTCTGTGATCCGCAAGGCATCGAACAGCAGTTTTTTGTGAACCCTTCCCGGAGCCGATGACTCAATAGTGAAAATTGGCCTAGCCGGAGGATGCAGGTGGTAAAGCATTACTGTCTCACCCCTGATGCGGTTGCGCGCAGCAGGTGGTTTTTGAACAGCACCGGACTTTCGGTTTTAAAAGTATTTCGACCATATTGAATAGTGAACCGGCAGTCACGGTCAACCGTCCGGTGATTGAAGTGTGCGGTTTTTTTATAGCTTAAATGTTCTAACACATCCTTCCTCAGGGGAATGCAGCGTCGCTGCTTTCATGAATATGGAAATACTGGTCCCCTGGGGAAATCACCTTGTTACTTTCACACTCCTTTCACCGAGGGCACTACGACTTTACCCCCAAAACCGCCTCATAGCACGACTACTCGTAATACGGGGTCTCGCTGCTCTTGGTCTGAATGCTCCCTCTTGGCCTTCCTGCAGTGTTGTGCCTTGTAGAATGAAGATCGAGCCGGCGTAGCCCGAAGGATCATTGCAGCACTTAAGCCCGACCACGCCGTAAAGGTGGCAGCTTTAGATTGGGTGTCTGCTCACTGCGTTCCTTAATTAAAAACTCGGGATAGCCGTTAGACTCGACAATCTATCCAAGATTATTGAGCTCCACTTGGAATGTATCATTAGTGCAAACCTACCCCGATCGCTTATATCGTATCGGCACGAAGCTAATGACTGTCTCCAGTTCAAGTGTACTCATACAATGGTATGGATCGGAGTTAAATTGCGTATCTCAGATGGAACAACATCCCTAATAGAATCCCTTCAATAGCAACAGAAAACTGCATGACTCCACTTAGTTCATGAATAGCTTGCGATTGGTAATCTCCAAGTAACTGGGGTATGAGAGTTTGTAAGGACCAGATAAAAGTCAATAAGCAAATGAAGAAGTTGCTGGCCGTTATCCCTTAGGTGATCATGGACTCCGAATCTACTGCGTACGTTTGCTTCTCTTAGACTTAGCCATCCTACTTGGAGGCTAATACCACCCCCAGGATGAACCACTACCTGAACGACCTTGTCCAGAACATTGTGCGGTATACCGGAACCCGGTACCACTCCTGAGTGCGCTTGTACCAGCAGATGTCAAAGGCAGAAGAGATGTTTACAGACACTCGAAAAATGATCTTTGAATGGCACATTCTGGACGTAATGAGATCGTTATGTTAGTAGCAGAGTCAGAATAGGTGGATGACCTCGACAGAGATAGCACAATGGCAACCGACTCTGAGCAAAATAAAGCACCTCTCCTGGTAAGATCATCCCTCAGAGAAAACGATCCTTACAAGAGTCAATTTGACTCTTCAAAGTATAACTCCATAGTAAACATTATCCAAAAAGAGATCACCCTGCACACACTATGATTGGTTACTTGAGGTGATGTGACAGGTAGGAAAGGCTGACGAAACACATTCCTTACTTGACGATCATTTTCAAGATGAGAAGCATGGATTTGGCATCCTCCCGACCCGATGGCGTGTCTTCTTTGGCAGAGGATATGAAACGGCGCCAGAAATGTGAGCTCATTCTGGGATTGAATAGTTCGGAATGTATCAGTTCCTGAATGATACGCTCCATACTCACCATACTTCCCATATCTGCCGTATGCAGGAATTGACTCAGGTTGGTCACGATGATGTCAGCTGTCCCGGTCGTTAGTTCGGCTTTTGGACCCAAAGGCTCATCAGGATCCACCTGGAGATAAAGCTTCCTGTGAGAGAGAAAATGACAAAAATGGTTTGTTTGCAAAGGATCTCTTATGTTATCGTGCCGATTAGTTCGCTTGCAAATAGGTAGGAGAAATTCGTTATTGTACACAGAAGGGAAGCAGTCAGACACCATGATTGATGCAATCTATTTTGGGAGGAAGACACCATCATCATTATCAAAGTCATGAACCCACGAGGAAAGAATGCCACAGTTGTGGAAAGAAAAGTATATAATAAACAAAGAAGCTTTAGCTTTTGAACAACGACGCGATATGCCATTGCAGCTGCAGAGGCACCTGAGATTTGTAGCAATGTCTAGAGAGTGAAGGTGCCAGCTGCTCCATAGCCGTACTTGAATACTATAATCACGTTTAAGAAATGTAGCAGATGTTTGCTACAAGATCCGCTTGCTAGTTTGCTTGTCCAAGATGCTGTTATGAAGACGAGAGAACAAGATATAAACAACGGACACGCTGCACCATACATGGGTGGTGGGATGAAACTGATCACTTCCCATGTGCCTGGCTGACGTGCTTAGAGTTTGGAACTGTTGAGGAGTGGCTATTGGATGGGATGATAGTGGAGAAGAGTAGTCACATCTTCTAACTTGTCCCCGCGGTCGTATATGCAAATAAGATACTCTGGTTTACGTTACCAAGCGAAGACAGATGCCATATGAAAGTACTTGCTCTACATATTTCATGGCTGAAAAATCAATGTTAAACAATCTGCGAAGAGTATGTTCTATAAGCCCGTTACATCATGGCAAGATATTGGTCTCGTTTATCATATCGGTGGAGAACACGCGTCAACCAGCAAATTTGATTATAGAACCCCTTACGAGCAACAGGGTTGCCTTATCTCCAAAAATAGATATCCAGTCACCGTGAGCTGTAAGCACTGCCCTAAAGAAGACTGTGTTCACTCTGGATGGATTCGCTCAAGTTAAAGGGGAAGTATGTTTCTGGTGTCGATGGGATATATTCAGTCCTTGTGTGCTTTCAGATTAGGGGAGCAAGCTGGAGTTTCACTGGGTATACGGTACCTGAGGGAAAATATGAGCGAGGACAAAGGATAGTGTTCAGTTAATTCCAAAAAGATTAATACATGAGATTAATGACATACTGGAACGCTTCAACAACAGCTTTTCTAATGGGTTCATCCTGTGACCAAATCTGAATGAAAATTTGTTGAATGCCAGCCTCCAAGCCACGAACGCCTGCGTGTTTGGCGGTCACAAAAAACTCAATAGCTTCGGTCACATCAGTTAGAGTTTTTGAAGCCAGCATCAACTGAAAGTCCTGAATCGCCAACTGAATGAGTGAGGAGAACGCCGAAGTCTCTCGAAGATAGGCAACACAAGCCCGTTGTCGCATAACTTCAGCTGAGAGTTCACTGTGAGCAACGGTTGTTGATCTCAATGGACTACGCCCGTCCTGAGGAGTATGGGATGCTATGGCTGCAGCTGAGTGGATGGCCGCTTCTAAAGCCGCCGCTGCATCCGACTCAGCACCATCTACGGGCGAAGGGCATTCCAAGTTTTCTTGAACGCTATCGTTCTCTTCAGCCGAAGAGTTGGCTGCATCTGAGGCATCGTCTTCACTGTCAGACAATCCACCCTCGTTTTCTTCCTGACTAACGTCCGTCCCATCCGTATGGTGTATCTGCTTCTTGTGCTTTTTTCCATTCTTTCGCTTTGAGTTGGAGACTGGTTCATTTCCATTACTTGGGGCAGGTCCCTCAGGTTCTTCTGTCTCTTCGTACGGGCAAACTTTACCTGGAAAGAAAAAGCGGGCGCTAAAAATGAAAATTAATTCTAGAACTATCTCGTCCCTATGTATCATATGCGCCTCTGCATAGCGAATAGCGGTGCAAATGTAATCCTTTCACACAGCGATCTGCACTTACGTTACTATCGCAAGAGATGAGATGGGTATTAGATGCACCAACTGAACACATGCAATCGTAATGAAGGGCCCTTTTCGACCTCAAAAACAACTCATGCATTGTTTAGCATCGCGGTGGAACACGAATCTTTTATGAAGGGAAGGATTACGCTGGCCATAATCTTGACTAGGACTCGCTAGACCGCTGTGTGGGCTTTCCATGGAGAAGCCGCTATCCATCAGCCTCACCTAAGGTTTGACTTTCGAGGCAATTCGGACACAACCGGGACGGTTTTATCAGTCACCTGAGAAAGTTACATCCTGGTGTATACACCCCAAAGGTAACGAGTTTTGTCACAAGTCAGAATCTGTTAAATCATAGGGGAAAATAGGACTATATTTGTAATGTACTACTCATAAAGTTGCTGGAAATCCATCGACAGCCCACGACCGGTTTCGTCCTTTTTGGGGCTCATCAGGTAGGCGCAGTCTTCGAGTTTCCATCAACTTTATGTTCTATTTGAAACCAAATTGCATCAAATTAGCGAATATAGACTCATTTGCTAACTAATTTGGTTTCTCGAGAGACTCAGTTAGAACCCAGCTGAATCTCTCGGTTTTGCTGTTTCCAAGCAAAAATGGGATTAGTTGTGTCGACCGTTCAAGGGAATTATATTGTATGAACACCGTCCTCGAGCAATGTGTGGTAATAATTAGGGTCTATTATTACTTGCATTTGTACTTTGCACTTCGATCAAATTCTGAGACATTAGTGGGAGAGGATGGCAAAAGATGTCTATATGGGCCTGAAGTGACAACCACTCACCGACAAGAATAAACTACATATTTTTCATGCTATACTGTTCAGCCATTTTTCGTGATGGAATCTCATAGTTCCTCAACAGAAATCCACGGAACAATCTGTCCCCCGATATAAGTTCAATTTCTCAGGAAAACACAAATTGAAGTTGAACTGGTATATGTTTATCGAGATATTTAAAGATTCAAGCCGTCAACTCAAAAAGAGCGGAATGTGTCCCTTCGAACACCATTAAGTGCACTAGAACGCGAACAGGAAGGTAGCTGGATTGAAATTTCCGACAAGTTAATACTCCCTTGGCGTTTGATAGCTCTACCCAGAATACCCCGAACAACAATTACCGGCAGTTGCCACTCACCTGGATTCTACAACTGACGTAGAACGCTGGACGGTGAACGTGCAACTCCCTATAGGTCTCGGAGGTCTATGAATGCATATGTTATCTCGGGAGTCACCGAGCTCCTGGTTCGGATGACCCCCACCCGCATTGCGTAAACATGGGGATGAAGTGTTCAGTCACGGCTTGCATGATCTATTCGCATGCATTTGGGAAAAGGAGACTGTCCCAGACAAGTAGAGAGAATCGGTTAAGGTACCCATTTTCAAAAAGCGGCTCGTAGTGAGAGTGCCAACCACAGGTAAATCAGCTTGACCTCGATTGCAGCGATACTGGTGGCATCAGTTGTGTTGCGTCGACTTACGGTGGCTTGTAAAACCGAAAGAAACCATGATTCCGGCCTGAGAGTTGTTTTCAAATCTTCACACTCCGTCCGGTGATTGGACAACGCCAGAGGTACAAAAGACCCACAATTTTAGTATTCCTGGATTTCCAAGGCCCATTCGAATCGGATGACCGGTAACACGCTTGCCCATCAATGAATGTCGCTGAAGTTTATGAACATAAAAAGTTCTTTGTACTCTCGGATTTTCGTGTGTGAGACTACAAGGAGAGCTTTAGGAAAGCTTAAAAATCCACCATACACAAAGCGGTGAATGTCAGGAGTGCCTGCTCTCACTGTTCCTAATTAATTTCGTCGCCGATGAGATAATGCGATGAACGCTAGAAGGTCTTCAGAGAGCTTCTGACGAAAACCTCACCGATCTGCGGTATACAGACAACATCGCTCTTGTGTCTGAAGAAGAGAAGGTGCAAGTGTTTCGGATGAACTGACCAAATTTATCCCGTTGTTTGCAATGAACTTTGTACCTACAAATGTTCGATCGAGCTTCGGGATAGGCAGTTACTCAACACGCCACGTATGATACAGGGTGAGAAACTCGAAGTTGTGGAGCGTTTTACGCATCTTGGAAGTTGTATTAGCTTCATTTGTAGTGTGACATGTAAGGGTCATGCACGAATTTCTAAGACTTGGGTCACTTTTCCTAATTCCTTATGGCGTCAAAGCGGTATATTCCTGAAACTCAAGGAACGTGCGTATCAGGCCACAGTACGGGCTGCTTTATTGTGTGGTTGTGAGACTTGGCCTGTTCGAGCGGCGGAAATGGAACGTCTTTAGGTGTTCGATAATCGGTATCTCAGAAACATAGCTCGTGTGAGTCGGTGTCGGCGAATTCGTAACGAGGCGATTAGAAAGCGAGTGCTCGGTTGCGAAACGAGGAATTCCGTCGGAGAATGTGTTCAGCACCAGAGGCTGGGTTGGTAAAAGCCATGTATTGCGCATATAAAACCATCGCTTTCAATTCGGACTAGCGGAAGCAGAGAAGTGGTCAACCCTTGACCTGGCGAAGGGGTATGAAGGAGGTTACGAAAAGTCTGGGTGCTGTAGGCGAGACCCGGCCTCCAGGATGAGGAAAACGTGATACCCACTGCACCTGGTTGAAGACGTTGCTGCTAATCTGTCAGTGGCATCCTTGTTGTCAGTTTCAATCCAGATTGCAAGGGTGAGTGTATAGAGGAGTAAGCACCTCAGAATGACTGCGGTGACAATAGTAATGATCGTTCAGCCGTAACATCCTTTCGATGCCTAGCAGCCATGCCACGCGAAAAAACACTAGGACTGGGACACTGCCAGGTTGCCCAAGTCTAGACAGGAATGGTTGTGGTAGGCTAGCACAACGTCCCTTCCTTGTCCCCTTTATTCTTTTTTACAAATAAACCATGGTTTTACAGCAACGAAGCATGAGTGTTAAACACTGATGTCATGCAGCCGATGATGCTGATGACGGTGACTGATGATTTCTTCCCTATTGATAATTACCATAATAATTCTTCAATTGTAATAATCTTGCGGTGTCTAGCTGCGATGCCAACCGGAGGAAGCACGAGGGCTGAGATACTGTCAGGTCGCCCAAGCCTAGATAAGAGCATTCAAAATGAAGAGGTTGAGTTCGAATCAAGGACTTTCTGGCCAGTAAATTTATGCTTTAACCAATAAGCCATCTCGAGCCACCTGGCGAAAGGGTTGGAACATGAAACATACCGAATGGTTTGTAACATAGAAGGCAGTAAAATTGCGAACAATGATTCCACATCTAGGGCTCAGGTGAAAATGGGGGAAGTAGTTTTCGACTACCGGTTAGATGGCAAAATTGACCGTTGAACACGGTACTGGAGGGTGTGATCAAATAAATATATCACTGTAGCAGCCATGGCACAACGAAAGGAGGATAGAACAATGACAACGACAATGAAGATGATAACGTGCTAGTCAACCTAGGACTGTGAACCCACGTTTGACGAACGCCGTGGCTGCGACATGGAGTGTTTGTATTACATCACTCCACATGGCCGGCATCCACCGACCTTCTGGAGGAAGTGAGGCTGGGCTGAGTACTCGTCAAACTAAAATGCGACACAGACACCCAAGCCAATCCTAGTAAGATGGGGCATCTATAAAAGAAGTGACATCGTTGTAATCGACTGTTAAGTACAAATAGGATTCGGATTAGTGGAACCAAACTGTCTAGCTCAATGAACACACCAACGACCGTCCGCCTTCTTTCTGGAGTGAGTACAGCAGAGCTTTAATCTTTTAGGGAGGCTCACGGGATGATTGTTCCATTCGCTGAGAAGTACTTCTTATCCTAACAGATAACAAAATATATATCGACACCTTCTGAGGATACCCGAGGATTGTCGGTTTACGACATCCGTTCAAATAGCATCGCTTGAGTCTGATGACGGGAGACAAAGAACTGTATCGAACAGTACTGAGCTCACCAAACCCATCTCTAGGGGCCTACATTTTACCACATCAGACTGTCATTTTGAGCACCAGTTGCACTCACTAAACCAGAGTACACAAGAGTGCGGACAACAAATAGCGCTGCAAAGGGATATGAAGAATTTTATTGTAGGCTTCTGGAGTGAAACTCAGGAGACTACGAGACAGTGGATATATATATATATATATATATATATATATATATATATATATATATATATATATATATATATATATATATATATATATATATATATATATATATATATATATATATATATATATATATATATATATATATATATATATATATATATATATATATATATATATATATATATATATATATATATATATATATATATATATATATATATATATATATATATATATATATATATATATATATATATATATATATATATATATATATATATATATACCTCGATGTGTGTGAAGAACCCGGTGCCGGATGATGGTTTGGGTTGTATTCAACTCAGGCAATGACATGGAAGTCCTCTGAACCCGATGAGAATTGGTACCGTATACACAACGATTTTCTGCTGCCTGTAGAGTGTCGATGATGTCACTTGTCCGGTGAACTGAACATGATCAGCTTTCTTATGCAATTGAGCCATTATTAAGATCGACTTGGATGAGTCATGGTTGCATAGACTTGACGCAACTTCTCCTTTGGTATAGAAAGAAACCGCGTCCGCAAAATAGGATTACCTAAAGGAGAGGTGTCTGGTTTCACCGCAGCCTGTAAATTTACAGGAGTGACCTAAGGCCTTTCAAATGTTGCATAGCGAAGCTGGGGTGAAATGCCGGGTGCACATGCAGACCTAATCGGTGAACGACGTCAAAAGATATTCAGCGCACATTCATGCCATATATGAACCTACCCGATTTCTTAAGCTGCCAGTGACCAGAATGGGGGCGTTTCAAGTTTCTTTTCGCTGGGAATCGATGGGATATAATGACACAATATCCACATGAACTGATTACTATTTGGAAGTCCCATAGTATCGAGCAGAAAACTGTACTACAGCGGAAATAACTGATGTGGAAAATTGTCGATTGTAATTTAACAATCACTAGAATGGGAAGAATAGAGCTTACAGAGAAGTTCCTCCAGACCTTCAAGGCGCTTTGTTTCCTTGAGGAGAACTTGCTGAAGCTCAGCTGGAGTTAGCTGCCAGGCAAAAGACATTAGAAAGTACATGGTATAGTGGCTTTAAGAAGTTGACTAGATTGGTAGATCAGTACAAGTTATGTCAAACGAGTGAGTGTATATAAAATCAGACTTTCTTATGTCGTATTTCAAGGACGTCTAATATTGCTGGAGGTGAGCTAAAGTGAATTCTACCAAAACATGACGTAACAAGCCAGTGAGTGCAACCTAGTAGTATCAGCCGCCTGACTCACTCAAATTATTCTATATTACCGTTTACAACTGTCAAGAGACAAATCAAGAAGGGGTGCCATGCCTTAGCTGAAATTTCCATTCTCTCTTTCCTTTTTCTCGAAGGCTATCTTGAGGTTAACAAGAAGAATCCACACATGACTTCAGGGACCAAATTGTGCCTGTCATGCGGAGGTATCATGTCGACAGTCAAGATCGGCTGGTGTAAGATTTATCAGCACGATTTTGAGGGGTGGCAGCAGAACGAATAAGTTAGAGCATTATCTGAACATGAAGCGAAGCCCAGGGAAAGCTTGCAAGGTAATCCACACTTCTAACGTATGAGACTACCGTCAAAACTAACCACCTCCAATTGCTTTTCTCACGAACCAACAAGCACGCCCAAAACGGCGCTAAGCAGACCCACAAATAATCCACTTTCATTTCCGATGGCTGAATGAGTCCCTGAGAAAAAACGACCATGCCAACGGTATGTACAATAGACAGAAATCATGAAGTGAGAAAATAAACGCCTACAAGCATTGGGAAATATGAGAAGCTCATCCCTATTTCGACAGATACATTCATTTGCAAATCAATTTGGTTTTCACGGGAGACTCATGTGAATCTCTCGTTTATGATGTTCTTCAACCGAACGAGCTGCACATAGGCCGCCTCGTGTTTCAGTTGGTACGATATTCGAGATATCGCCGTATATTTTCATAAAGGAAACTACTCACAAAGTTGGTGAAAACTCTTCGACAGCCCACGACCGGTTTTGCCCCTCTTGAGGCTCATCAGGTGGGCGCAGTTGACGCAGGGTTGACGGAAACTCGGGGACTGCGCCTACCTGATGAGCCCCAAGAAGGGCAAAACCGATCGTAGGCTGTCGAGGAGTTTTCAGCAACCGTGTGAGTAGTTCCTTTCATTCCTATTTCTTTAGGCTACAAACCGCATACCGCAGGAGATCGGGTTCCAGCAGCTATAGTTTCATTAACAAGAGATAAAGTAAATAGAGGAGCTACGAGCTGCAGGCTACTTTCTGACCAGCATGACCACACCGATGTGATTTACTTCTATGGTGGAATGGGGTGCCTTAATAAGCAACAGAGTAAAGATGGCGACGTTCAAGCAATAGTGGCACCGGCTGTACGATCCAGCTATGCTACGATTGCCATCGTAAATTTGGGCATCGAATCCCATAGGCTCCGCCCGAGAAGATGCCAATTTCTAATCAGCCCTATCAGTTTTTGCTTCCATACTTTACCAAGCCAAAGACAGAACACCTTTGAGTCTCATCCACCTCGTAACCTGCTAAGTAAAAAGCGCTTTGCGGAGACAACGACCCTGGGACATCCATCCAACCAGGGTAAACGATTAAGTACACATAGCCAGCCCAATTGTGGCCGAGTGACTAACTTGAAAATCCAGCTGACATACCTTGGACGACCGATCTCATGGGCTTTAGCGCTCAAGTATTCTTGTACCTTCAGCGTAACCAAGAAGTCAATGCGGGTCGCACCATGGCACCACATATCATAACAACATATTATAAATGGACGTTAGGATAGTGTGGTACTCTCTTGAACCTCGATAAAACCAAGCGAACGCAGTCGCATTGGAGGCAGTCATACTACGAAAAAGTACTGTGCACAGCCATATGGTCTTATGGGGAGAGTTGCCACGTAAAAGTCATTACAGCGAGTGCCAAACGATAGAGCTCGACGGTCTGTAAAAGCTGCACTCGCCTTTCTGCTTCAGGAAGCGAATTCTTCAGGTCAGTTCAGCGGAACTTATGTTGCAGCTGAAGTAGAGGAATTCATCCGCCACCCACCAGCCTGCATAAATGCAAGGAGATCGTGTTAGATCCCACGGAGAGGTGGGTGTCAAAAAGTAGGGTTCGAAACATCAATATAGACCCGTTGAAAACGTGTCAAGCAGCCATACTAAGCTCTCTTATGAAGGAAATCACGCTCGTTAGATATAACAGCATAGACAACAGTAAAACGTCTTCAGTAAGCATTAAATGCACTTTATAGTTGGTGAAGCAAGTACCTTCATGGCAGGACACTGTAACACCATGGCTGTTAGCGTTTTGCAAGCGTAGCGCCGTGCCAGACTGGACACATCCCGCATCGCACCCGAGGGACCAACGAGCAGAGCAGCCAGCTGAGATTGACGACGAACTGGCAATCCCTGAGGAAATGAATCAATGGTGAGAGCAATTAGAGGAATATAGCAATCTTGTCTCGGACCAAATTTTTGCCCGATGCACCAGATAAAACAAACAAGTCAAAAGCACATCCGGCTACTAAGCAAACTATATGCAGGCCGAGACGAAAATACGGTGCACAAAGAAAACGCACAGGCTATTCCACTCACTCGAGTAGATACAATCGCATGCCAAATTTGCAGCGCCTTGGCACGGACATACCCATTGACGTCATGGATGTGCTCCTGTATAAGTGAAAGAGGGGAGTTCATCAGATCGATCGGAATGGAAACAAAATATATGAGGCGTTAATATAAGACCAGTACCGTTCACAAAACAGCGGACTGATCCAGAGAAGGAGCTCAGGAGGAATAATTCACAAGTTGTGCGAACCTTCCACAGAAAAGTAGCCACTCGAGGAACAAGCCAACATGTGGTGAAGTGATGTGAACTCCCTGATTGAAAAATGAGTGGCGATATATCTTGTCTAATCACACTGCTGACTGGTGGATGGTACCTCAAACAAAAAGAAGAGTAAATGATTGTAGAAAGGACTGAGGCCATTTAACCTAATATAAGTGGAGAGAGTAGAGGACCAAAACCTTTGCGCTACAAAAATATTCTCTGCCCCGGTATATAAAACACCAGTACAACGGTCACTTCCAATAAGAATTCGCTTCAAAGATTGCATCATTCCAAAGCAAAGTTAACGGCAGGGGCACTGAGCAAAACGATGCTTATTACATGCTCTGAAAATAAAACATCCATCAACGGATGACAAAGTAAAAAATAGCATTAGGAAATAACCCAGACCACAGTAAGCTCCTTTCGTGTTCACCATCCGTGGACATTTGAGTAAGCCTTGTGTGATGACTGGCCTAGTACAGAGTCACACATGAGTTTCGGTTGCTAAGTTTCTAACAATGGAGTTCAGGTGGAGTTTTCTCAAAAGAGTAGTTGAGGAGCGGGAACTGCACCTCACCCTCCCGAGTCAACACGGACCCGATTTAGTGAGAAAAAGTGCCAAGCCAGTATCGTGTTCGTGTTGTCCTACTTGTCAAGTAACAATCTCACAAACACAAACACCTGTCAGTGAAGAAAAAATATTATGCAGCTCTCCACGCATTCTGGTCAACTCAGTCATCACAACACAAGTTAAGCTGGTCAGGGAAACGCTCAGTTGTCGGTGAACCTGGTGGCACAACGGCATTCACAGTAAGCTGAATCAGAGAGGTCCACATCCTAGACGGTTTATGAGTCATACAACCAAGCACGGAATGAATCACCGTGCAGTAGGGACGCCGACGAAAGGCAATGGAGAATTCGAAGTTTGAAAGTATATTTCCAGTAGGGAGCATATCGCTCGACGAACAACAATATGACTGAGTGGTTAGAGTGCGGTTTCACTGACCGGAAGGTTTGTGGTTCGAACCCGACCTCTGCCTCTCGATTTCTCCTGTGTAGGCTTTGGCAGCCTGGCAGTATCCAAGCCCTAGTGATGACTTCCAGTGGCATAGCAGCTAGGCACCAAAACGGAATCACCGCTAAACGATTATTTTTCTATCTTATCGGTAAGATGAAATTCGAACACATTTGGAAATCGAAGGTGTATACACCCTCTCGATAATATGGACTAGGTTCTCAATGGTCCTGCTCAATAGTGAAAGGTGGGGGAAACACACGCATAAAATCGTTAGCTAGAATGAAGCTGCCACAGGTCGAATGCAAATAATTGCGATAAGCTTCTCGTAATACCAGGTGGTCTTGAAAACGGGGAACTTCTGTATACCTTAATCGCTGTTATTTTGGACAAGTCAGGTTGCAAGGATGGAACGGTCGATACTCGGGAGGACCTTATAGGAGATGTGACTGTAAGATAAAAAGATTATGTTCCTTGAATTGTAGTCGACGGTTCTCGATTGTGATTTACACATCCAATGGTAAATCTCATGGGCCTATCACCACTTTGAAATGGAAACTTAGATAATGTTAACGGAGTTTTCTTATCATTGACATTACCTCCCTGGAAACCAGCAACACAACAAGCAAACGTGAAAGAAGTTCCGTGCGCATACAACCCGTAGAGGACCGATGCTTTTACACAAATCTTGAAACAAACTATCTCAGCGTGTACGTAATCCAAGTTATCTCATTAGTAAAATCGAGGAAATGAGATCCAGTCGGATTCGACAGTTGGAAAGAAAACCACTCACTTGCAACAGGTCCATTAGTCGGTCCCGCTGTACCGACTCTTTCGGATCCAAATTTTCGCGGCGAGCAAAAGAGGGTAATACCTCACCTATAACTCCAAGAACACAGTTGCGCATTTGATAGGGATCTTCGTCTAAGTGGGATCGTAGAAGAGGTAACATTGATTGTCCGAGATTCGGATACGCACTAGCCACTTCCAGCAGAAAAGCAGAGAAGTTCTGAGTGGTCTGAGCATCACGTTCCAGATCTGCGCCGCTATAACTGCAGATTTCCTAGGAAGTTGAAGAGATTATTTCAACAGATGGGGTAAGTGTTCTAGACAGAAAATTGGCAGTCGAACTGGGACACGAGTGAATCAAGGGCGAGCGGTCGACTTGAGAGGAGAAGAGCGAGTTGTCATTTAGGATTGCTGAAGCTGGGTAGCTCCAAACAAACCGTAAGAAAACGCAGATCCCTAAAGAAGGACTGAAAAACGCCAGGATAGCATTCATTGGTTGATATACACGAGAAAACCGTTATTGACATTGGCTTCAAACTCCGCCCCAACCAGTGGCGTTCAGTAGCTAGCATACCTGACGCAGCATTGATACACTATTGAAGCCCAGGCACACAAACTTAAGAAAATGTAGTGGGGTCAACCAACCTTGAGAAGTTCACGAACGACACCACCTAAATTCTCTTCCTCCATGAATGAACGAACGAAAGAAAGGAGACAATTGACCATATGAGGATGGCACTGCAGCAATTGGGTCAATTTCACAGAGCACGCAATCGAATGGCCATACCGTCGCACCAGACTGGCAAGTAGACTGGTCATTGCAGTGCGCACACTGGCGCTGCTCGCCACTGATCGGTTTTCAAGCAGCTTGTAGCAACAGTTTGCTGGTAGGTTGATGAAGTCTTCTTCCGCCACTGGTGGATCCCACAGTTTGTTCAGTTGAAGACGACAAAGCTGATCCAGAATGGTCACGGCCTTCTCACACTGAATATTCCAGTCCATGGAGAGTTCACTGTCGCCTGGACCTGGACGTGTGGGTGAATGACGACGCCCACGTCCAGCGCCACCACATCGAGTTTTCTTGGTGCCGATCTGATGGGAAAGATCATGAAGAGTTCGCTTCAGTTACACAAGCAATAAGTCATCGAACTCAAAAGGGCGTATCGTAAAGTTTGAAGCACGGTCGATTTGGTGGTATCTAGTAAACAGTACCCACTAAACAATGTTAGTAGTTTGTGCCAGTCTAGCCTAGATAGAAGCTCATTTTGATTCCTTGCAAGCGCCCGCGAAATAGTTGAAGGCCAATAACTAACAAACTCCCGCATATTAGTTCCGGACGGTAAAGGATATACGTACTGAGATGTGTGCTTCAAACGAATAACATTAAAGAGGTGTTTGAAGGAGGCAACAGGTTACGGAGCTCAAGATAGCTCAGTGGTTAAGGCGCCAGATTAAGAAACGGAAGGTCCGCGATTTGAACCCAACCTCGACTGCTCCTGTCAGACTTGGGCAACCTGGCGGTATCCCACCCATGGTACCTCCTTCCATTGGCATGACAGCTAGGCACCGAAAAGGTGCCACAGCTGAACGATTATTTACATTATATATAATAACCGGTTACTGGGCATGAATGTAAACACACTGTGAAGCACTATACCATAAACTAAGGTGTCCCAGAGTGAGGTAGCCACGTGGTGACCATATAATCCATCAACTTGGCGTAAGTGGTATAAAAGTCAAGTCCTGTGACGTATGCTCAGGATTCTCCGGCCGGTACCTGCAGTTCAGAATGAATGCCAGAAATATAGCTTCTGCTATAAACGGAGTGATGGCGGTGAAAGAAAGTGGGGTGACTCCACAAAGAATGAAAGAGAATACCTAATTTCCAAACAGAGGAGAATAACGATTTCACATCTTCAAAAGTGAACATCTATGGTAGATGTGAAAATTTATATGTAATACAACGGCGTTTTTGAAAATTTCAAAACAAACTGAAACTCAAGTAGCACACCTTGGTAGCCGTCGTGGATTTGGTCTGTTGGTTCAGGTCGTTCTCAAACATGTCCACATACTGACAAAGCAGATACACATGCATCCGCAAAGCATTTCGATTCGCAGCCAGTTTGACCCGATCATAAGTCAAAGTACCCGAATCTTCAGATTCCAGTAACGAAGACAGCTGGTGGACACAAACTTCACAGCCTGAATATTGCAAATAGAAAATATTGCATTTGAAGTATACTAATTTGGCAAGGTATCGCCGCATAGCTCAATCCAAAAATATCACAGCGTGCTTGGGTGAGAGTAGTTTAAGGTAGTTTGGGGTAGGTTAAAAATATAAACCTAACCACTTCGAACAAACGACAGAAAAGTAGCGCGCGAGAGTATGAAGTCTTTGATTCTGTTGAAGAGGGCTTCGACAGAATGAAGCTGACGGGACAATATTAAAATGTAGGGTACCACGTGTGGAAAATGGGTGGGTGATCCGTGCTCCTAGGGACCTCTTCCTGTGGCATGTGAAAGCCGAAACAAACTTAAATAGCTGCCCGTAAGCGCAAAGGGCATGGAGTAGAAATAGAGCACTCATAGCTTTTTTATTCTACGGTTAATAAAGCTACATATGGCCGAAACAACGGCAAGACAAAGACGTCGCACACAGACAAAAAACAAATATGTTTCTCCGCCATTGGGAACTTCTGGAGCAAATATGCTCTCATCGAGAAGAGCGTTTTTGTAGCACAGGATTTTGTACTCGGCTTGCGTTTCCCATCGCAAATAACTTAGCAAGTATATGCTTGCTTACCTAGCTGTACGTTTTACTACCCTTATATTCACCGACTCGACCTGCTACATTACTACAGGAGAGGACCCACGGCACGACAACGAGAACTTGTCTTCACCATTCAGGTTGAGTTTATCGGGTAGCACAACAAAGTCAAGACTACTGTTCGTTAGTTGGTGAAGACCACGACCATAAGCAACAGGACGCGGGACTTTTCCAGTGCAACCTCCACCCTGAAAAGATGAGGAGCAGACTTTCTAGCTCCTTAAATGGCTGATATATCACCATCACATCACACCGAACATGCCATAGGCCAACGGTGGACTGTCAAATCAAACGCTTACATAATAATGCCTGATTGCATTGATCAAACTAATAAGCCCCTCGTTATGGGAGTTGACTTCACCGACACACTCACATTGTGGAAATATGCCACAATGGCAATAAGTTTATTAGGGTAAAACGTCGGAGGGGCAAACGACCGTCGAATCGATCTTCATCAAGCATCTCATCACTATGATTGTCTTTCTCCTATATTTGCATCAGCGTTCGTCACAGGAGCCCGTAGCTTATTGTTCATATTCGAATTAAACTAACGGTCATTAAGTCTGTTTATAATGTCTCAGACTACAGGGCCTGAGAACTAATGCATCTGTTGCCGACATGCGAGGAAGAAGCGAAACATCCAATGAGTTCCGACTGTAAAACCCGGGGATGACTAAAGTACAGTTATTTCTATGGAGATTTTTATACCTCAAACTCCATGTGGGATCAAACCCATCGAACAGACTATAATTTACATCTCAACGGTTGTTCCATATTACCCACCCAGACCCTAATTATCAGGTCGTGGACTGCTCTCCAGTCTTCTAAGAAATGTCAACCTATTTTTCTTGGAATTGCGCTCAGGAACGAGTTCCAATTATAGTCCATCGATTCTACCTACCCTTATGCATAAGCCTAAACGAAACCACTCACTCACAATGCCCAAGTGTGGAGCATCTCCGGCCACGAATGAAAGTCCCACTTACATCGCGCGCATGCCGTGCAACGTTCCAGAGAGCACCTTGGTCAACTGATACAAATGGTATAAATGTTGCTTTTTGGGTAAAATCATTCTAGTAAGAAGAAAACAGGTTAAATCTTAGAACCACAATGACGAATGACCTAGTAAGGGTCTAAGAAACAGCTTGTGTTTCACGTTTATCTTCTTATTACCCGTTCCAGATACGCACATCAAATAGCGAATAGGATTTAGGCGGTCCTCCTTTCTTGCGCGTTTTACTGCCAGCCGTCAGCTAGTAACCATCGTTAACCGAGACTCATAGATTAACTCTCGTCATAGAAAGCCATGGTTCAGACCAAATTAATATAGCAACGGTCATCTAAGTTTCCCGTTCTAATCCAAGCCGTTTATTTGTCAAGACATTCCTTGATGTCACTAACAAAGTTAATCCTTTGAATTAAGCGAACGACAGTGAATGCCGTAGATGCATCAACGACAACCGTCATTTGAGGCTGAGCTGTATTTAGTTTGAAGCCTAACAATATTTCCTTTGAGCCAAAAATAACGCCGTGAGTGAAATATTGGGTAAAGCTGGTCACTTGCAGTCTAGCCGCGCATCACTGTTAACAGTTAATTGACGGAGAGGCGGAAAGCTGGATCAGCATGAGAAACTGAGTACATATAATGGAAAGCACAGAAACGATCTGACGATAACCTTGCCTTCCAGATAAGTGTCCCGGCAGCTGAGCTACCTAGGTCATGCAAATGAAATCCTACAGTTATTCACCGCGGGTTTGGGCCCAGTCCGATAGCATTTCCCTTTGCATTATGTTCCTGCACTCCAATTCTAGATTCACCAAGTTACTGTTTCTTCTATACCAAATCAGACCCACGCCGTCCCGGTAGCCGGGGGAATTCAAATGTTGATTCGTGAAAGTCACAGTAAAAGGTATTGGTAAACATCAGCCAATGAGCAGGTGTCGCGAATCGGTACAGAATCATCACCGGCAAGGATTCGCGTCCGCCGGCTAGTAGATTACTCATCAAGAAATCGAGAGGTCGAGGATTCAAGGCTTTATGACTTTTGTTTGGATCACATGTAGTTGGGCTCCTAACCTGAACAACGACTGAAGCCTCACTAATAGGTCCAAGAATTAGGGTGGGTGTATTTTTAAGTGGCCTTTAGCCTTCAGAAAGCGCCTAAGCGGGTGGAAACGTACCAGAACCGGAGGGCCAGTGAATAAATCATAGCGATACCATGATGAGGAAACCAACCTTTTAACACGAGTTCCCAGGCTTCTTCCTTCAGGTCTGTAGGAGCCCCGGTCCACTCACTTAAATGACATGATGCTCATTGAAGTCGAGAACTTACTGTAAAACACTGAACAGAATGTCGAAGGTCCGTAAAATGTACAAATGACCCTCACTGCTGAGGATTCTCAAACATTCTGAAATGAAAAACGAAGTTCCTATCAATGACACTACAGACCACATAAAATCAGAGGCAATTTATCGCAGTCAGATGTGATATCCTACAGCTAGCTGTCTTGGCAGGGGAAATGAAAATAAAGTGTATGCTGGTTGAACAGGAGTACGTACAATCCCAACATGTAGACCTTATGCAGCGAATGATTCTCATGAATCCACTTGTTGCTACAGTAATTCTACCACGGTGCGAATAATATCACCCTCCCAAAAACTTCCTCCCCAGGTTTTATATTGCAATCCAAACAAATCACCTCTTTCGATCGAAATAAGGAGGGGGCACCATGTCATGTACAGATTAAGCGGAAGATGCGGAAACCAAGGAGGAAAACGGAAACGTAGTTAGCTGATGCGTGCGCGTGGACTTGAGTACGGAAATCATTCATCAGGCTGTTTTGCAACCGGTGACAGATTGTCACCGCTACACGAACTCCAAACACTGTTAAGTGTGACGAATGAAATCATGAATGGCCCGTTTCAGTTCTAACATGACAGTTGGGTGAATGTATTAATTCGGTCTGACGTTATCCTTTTATTAACAAGGATGATGAGTGATTTCATCGCGTTGGCTATTGTAACATACACAATCAGTGCAGCTGTTCAATTGTAAGGAGTCCGTCAGAAAATTAATCTAATTAATTTTTTGCGAGAATCTCAACATAATTCGAGAAAAAAAGGGTGTAGAAAACATGGAAATCACCATTATGACCTAGCGGTCAGGCAATAAGGGACTCACTTGGAAGTTGAGTATGCAGCTGCCTAACAGGAAACACCTCATTCACCACATAAGCGTTGGGAGTTGCTCTTTTCAAAAGATCACTACGGGATACCGGGATAACAAAATCTGGCATGGTTTATGCATAACAACCTGAAAGACAGGAAATACAGATGAGAATTACCCCGGGTTTCGTATAAGTAAAAACCCTGAGAGCACATAGAATTAAAACTCTAGAGAAGTTAACAGCCATCCAAATAAACTCGTGCCAAGGAATCACGAACACCTCAAACAGAAGATGGAACCGGTTTCGAGCCTTACAGTCCATTGGTAGAAATATGACCGCCCTCATGGAAACCGACGTCTAATGTGATTCTCACGTCGGGGGACTCAGAATGGGTAATTGGCGGTTGCAAGTACAACTTCTCCGCGTTAAGCAGTGAAAAAATTCACAGAGACTACGTCAGACGGCCAGTGAAACGACATTTAAGGGGCGCCAATAGGTTAATAATGCATATTGGATGGAACCCGAGATTGATGATTCAATGTTTCTACCTAATAAGAAAGGTGTACCAATCGACGCTAAACTCGGTTTGCAGTTATTAAGCTTAGTTTGCGGCCTTGTGCCAACATCTCCGAGTCAACAAAACACATTCTGTGGCTTGCACAGATATAATTACTGTTAGGACGGTCAGGTCCTAACAAACAATTCTATCCTAGGTAATAATTCACTGAGATTCCACGTCATCTCTGTCGTAGTCAACCTAGACGCATGGCTCCTTCTTTAATTGGTTCATTTGCACTACCGCCGATCTTCATCTGACGTCCTTTGTCTTCTTCCTTGAGGTTTTCCCACTCAGGTAACTAAACTATCATCGTGATAGAGTAAATTCCACAAAGCTCCAAAATCACCCAGTTAGCTCCCACGGACCCAACAATTACAATAGACAATATTATTATACAGTTATTAAGCGAACGAAATGGTAATTGAATTAAAAGAAAAACATGGCACATCTATGGTGGATTGTTAGGATACATGTCAACACGTGTCTTGAAAAGATGAAAAGTACGGGAAAGTATAGAGAAAGCGTAAGAGAATACCAAATTGTGGCACCTCGAAGAATGAGAGAGGTGGAAAGATCAGACTCATAGTCGGAAATTGTGGCTTCATAAGAATGGCTTGAAAACCAGAGGCAAGTTGCAAGAATTCTAACCCAAACATGATTAAAGACCAAGAGTGGGGAACGCAGCCGAGATCAGCAGAGGTGCAAACTGGAAGCGGGGGAGGGAAATAGAGATAATTAGAATGATCAAATACGGCTGCGATAGATGATGCCCACTTTGTGACTTTTGGATGGCCGGCATGATGGTGACTTTTATTCGGTCGGCATAAACCCATGGCGGTATACACCTCAGGCAAAAATAGATGGAACAATGCTGGGTGACATCGTCAGCTATCACAACGATGCTGAGAAAGCAGACGGGGGAGGACTGCAGATAAACAGTAAATGCAGAGAATATAGCCGATCCTTGAAAGATTCTGCTGGGATACTGCGGACAGTTTAGACAGCTCAGTCCAGACGACATAGAGTACATGGTACTCGATGAACCAACTGAGCTAACTTGCCAGGTTTGAGTACATTGGATGTCTGGAAGGGATATTAGCTTGCCAAACTTGGTCAAAGGTTTCAAAGATGCATAGTGATACCAGACGGGTCTCATCAAAGGAGTGGCCGTGGCTAGTCCAACTATCATGGTATGGTCAGACACCCATTTGTCCACCCGCAACCCCGCACTTGCACTGAGAACTTTACAATTGTGAAGCGCACATCAAGAAAGCAGGAATTATCCTTGTTTCAGTGCGCACACATCGGATCTCAGAACCGCTACTGTCGCTCCTTGAGGCTAGATCCTGTTGACAATCAGACACAGGGTATAATTCGGCAACACACCAAGTAAAGAGATAGGCGTGGTGGGACCAAAAAGAAAAGGAAAAGGTTAGCGTGATCCGGGATACGCCCACGCTACTTCACCTAATCCGTAAGAAACCGAACCAATAACCTGTCTGCTAACCAAAGATGATACTGGAAATCTAAAATAACGTAAGAGTCAGTGTCCATACCGCTACGCCGGATATTACCAATGACAGGTAAACGAAAAGTTGACTGAAACTCGGAGACTGCGTGTGCCTGCTCAGCATCAAGAAGGGCGAAACTAGTCATGGGCTGCCAAGGGGTTTTCGGCAACCTTATTGAATGGTGTCCCTTGGAAAGAATCAATGTTGCATACTCTAACGGACAGCTTCTACGCCTGCGCAAAGATAAGTCTTGGCCTACAATCTAACCAAAAACGATGCTATACACTTGAATACAAAACATCTTGATATCTTAACTCGGATAGTCGAACTGGGGACCACGACAGTAAGGTAATAACCATTAATTATAAAATGAGTCACCTCTATTTGCTAACCTCTCACCCGACTGCAAGCCTATCGCCACGAAATCATGGCGTTATAAACCTCACGATGAACAATTCATTTGCTCTGAAGTTAGTCGACTATTGGATAAAAGTATAATTGAACCTTCGAATTCTCCCTGGAGGGCTCAGGTACCGGTTCCGAAAAATTCAAACCACGGATGACGCATGGTAAAACCATTAATCGGTTCACACGCCTGGACGCTCATCCTTTACCGCGACTGGATAAAATGATTGAAGAAATTCCCCACCAAGCTATCTTTGGCACTTTAGACCAATTGATTGCTCACCATCAAGTTCCAATCAGTGAGAAAGACAAACCGTATGCGGCTTTTGAAGCATGAGCAGAGCTGTTTCAGTTCCATCGTATTCCTTTCCGTGTCACAAACAGAGTAACATGCTTCCAACGTACTGTTGTCCATAAAACCAAGTCCGAGAGCTTAAGCGGCACCTAAGCTTACACCGATGTCACTATTTGTGGGACTACTCAAAGTGAGCATGACCAGAACCTCAAACATTTTTATCAAGTAATAAAAAAGAATTATCCTTAACTGCAAGATACCAACATAACGACCAAACAGTGACGCGTTCTCGGTTATGAAGTTTCTGAAGGAATTATTAAACCAGCCCCATTCTTCAACTTCCTTATCCACATGACGCTAAATCCCAACGAGTCGTTGGCGTTGTTCGCAATGGATGCCACACTTCTCTGACAAAATCAGTGAGCATGTCAGAAACAATACTTTCCTTTACTGGAGCGTGTACATCAGTCCTTCGAGAATTTACATAACTCAGAGAACACAATGGTTGTGGCAGTCGATTACAATGCACTGTTGGTTGTCAAGACGGACGCCTCAGACGTAGCCATTGCTGAATCTCTGACTCAGGACTGCCGACCGGTGGCCCTCTTTTCTACAACACTGAAACCGAGCGAGAACAATCACTATGCTATTGGGAAAGAGGCACAAGCCCTAGTTGAATCTATCCGGAAAGCAATTCAATCTTATCACTGACCAGCTGTCGGTTTCGTCTGTGTACGTGTGCACGGTTGGTTGCAAATACGAACAAACTCTTTGCCTGGCTCCAGCCGCCCCCAAAAGCGTTCGTTCTAATATGCGGAACCTTTCGTTCCGATTTCAACTATTTCTGTGGAGCTTCAGTCTTGCTTTCCACAAAGTAATTTTCCGTACACTTCGCGTTCCAACTTGTATGTTGCCACCAACTCAATATTCCAAGGAACTTTTACACCTGGCGTCACCGCAACAGCGACACCAGTGAATCTTTACAGTTTCACTGTGCACCAGATTCCTGCTACCATTTATCCGCATTGTTCATACATTTCACCCCCACTTACGACCTTCGTGACTCTGGCCATAAGCCCAACAGTCCAAGGTCACGAGGCCTCAGCATTGGTTTGAAGTTCTAGTCTAAATCGACTGACTGGATTTCACGGCTTCACAGATTGATCACGCTCCTTCTAGAACCCAGTTTAAAGCACTGTTAGACATTTATTTATGCGAATCCTCGCGCTGGCAAGCATACTGCCCCGCGCTGAGAACATAAATAGCAGTGCTACACCCTTTTTTTACTTGTGCCTTTCGGGTGAACGACAGCCACTGACCGACAAGAACAAAAGCGACCCGGGAAACTTGGGCAAAAGCCTCGAACCCGTGTATCAGTCCGTGAATCCGTGCCAGCGCGAGGATTCGCATAAATAAATGTCTAATAGTGCTTTAAACTGGGTTCTGGTAGGAGCGTGAACAACCGCCGGAAGAAGGTCATTCCACGCAGCTACTACCTGAAATGAGAAAAAAATTCTTTAATGAATGTGTGTGCTCTGAGCTTGTGTTTGCTGGGTCAACGGTAAAAAGCCTGTTTGCCAAGCTTTGTTCAAACAGGGCATGAGTAAGAATTCGATCACCTCGGGGGCGACGGTACTCCAGGGGAAAGAGATCAAGCATGGCGAGACACGTTTCGTAGTCCACGGATTTGAGCCTGGCAACCATTGTCGTAGCGGTTCGCTGAACACGCTCAATGAGGGCGACGTCTTTGGTGCGTCCTGAGTAGACAACTTGGTTGGCGTACTCCAGGAGCGGTCTGACGTAGGCCCCATAGGGCATTGTGGAGTCCATGCGAGTAATACGGGAGAAGGTGCGTCGGAACATCCGTAAAATGGCGAATGCCTTTTGGGCCATTTCTCACGGTGCAGTGAGAAGCACAAGTCTGAGGAGACCCAGATGCCCAAATCGTTTTGGCAATATCCTCGTGATGTTTTCTGGTCCTTTCTCACCATGCATAACAAAGGCATTCGCTGAATCCCCTCCAAACGACACATGGACGCACTTTTCATCATTCAGAGGAAGGTGCCAGTCCAACGACCACTGCTTGGCAGCGTCTACATCCATTTGGAGGGCGCTGGCATTGGAACTCCAGGATTTCAAGTCGTCCGCAAAAAGTAAACATGGACTCGCAAGAACGTCTGGGAGGTCGTTGACGTAGATCAGAAACAGGAGTGGTCCCAAGACGGAGCCTTGAGGAACTCCAATGGAGACCGGCGCTGGAGAGGAATAGGTTGAGCCTATTCTCACTCGGAATGACCTGTCTGATAGGAACGCCTTGATCCAGCGAAGGATTTTCCCTTGAATCCCGTAAGACTCGAGTTTGTGGAGCAGCGGGACGTGTGGGACCCTATCAAATGCTTTTGAGAAGTCGAAAAATATGGCATCCGATATGAGTCCTTCGTCCTTGGCTTGGGTTAAGCTGTCCATAAACACGAGCATGTTTGTCACGCAAGAACGGTTTGGGAGAAATCCGTGTTGAGCTGGAGATATCAGATTGCTGGAAGTAAGGTGATCTAGGATGGCTCGCTTCAGAATGCGTTCCATCACCTTGCACGGCACGCTAGTGAGGCTTATAGGCCTATAGCTGCCAGGCGATAGTCGGTCACCAGTTTTGTAGATTGGCGTGACAATCGCTTCCTTCCAAGCAGAGGGAAGGCGGCCTTCGTCAAGCGACTGACGAAACACCAGGTGTAAACCAGTGTGGAGGACGTTTCTTTCAGGATCCTTGGATGGACCTCTTCGGGCCCCAACGTGCAGAATGGGTTGATCTTCTTTAAGAGTTGACGAATGTCCTCCACCGTGAAGACCAAGTCGGTTAGAGGCTGTTCGTAGCTCCGCCTTGACAATAGTTGATATGACGAAGACGCCGGGGCTGTGTAAACCTCAGATACCAATGTTGGGTCATTCGCCGGTTCTCCGTTTTTGTCCCTCAGAGAGAACGCGAATGGCTTGTTTCTGCGGTGATGTCTCATGGATCAAACCAACACAGCTGCTTCACCAGATCCGTTGTTCTGGTTCCCCAATTTCCGCAGTTTTTACTTTTCTTGTAATGTATTGGGCGGGATGGCTGTTGTTTCTCCCTACTCGTCTCGTTTTTGCCTAACATCTTGAAGTCCTAACGGCCTGATCATACTTTTCACGGATTCACGGATTGGTACACAGGATCGAGGCTTTCGCCTAAGTTTCCCGGGTCGCTTTTGTTCTTGTCGTTCAACGGCTGTCATTCACCTGAAGGGTACATATGAATAAAGGGTGTAGCACTGCTCTTTATGTTCTCAGGGCCGGGCAGTATGCTTGCTAGCACAAAGACTAGCATAAATAAGTGTCTAATAGTGCTTTGAACTGGGTTTTAGAAGGAGGAAGATTATTCCACGCAACTACTACCCGAAATGATTAAACAATTTTGTCCAATGAATGTGTGCGCTCTGAGTCCGAAAGTCATTTTGCCATATCCCCGCTGTGTTTTTCTGGGTCAACGGTGTAAAATCGACCCGGGAAACTTGAGCAAAAGCCTCGATTCTGTATATCACTTAGTGAATCCGTGAATAAGTGAATGTGGTACATCACCTTTCACAGCACGCTAGTGACTCTTATAGGCTTTTGGCTCCCAGGCGCTAGTCGGCCACCAGTTCTGTAGATTGAAGTGACAATCGCTTCATTCCAAACAGAGGGCAGACAGCCTTCGTCAAGCGACTGACGACACGCAAGATATAAGCGATTTATCATTGTAAACGAGGTTTGCCTCAGGATCCTCGGAAGGATCTTTTTGGGCCCCAACACGCAGAATGGGTCGCTCTTTCGCAAGAGTTGACTGATGTCCTCCAACATCAAGACCAAGTCGGCTAGAAGCATTTCGTAGTAACGCCTTGACAAGAGTGGATGTGATGAGGACGCTGTGGCTGAATATAAAGCTTATGTAAACCTCAGATACCACCTTTGAGCCGCTTGAGGGTTCTCCGTTCCTGTCCCTCAAGGAGAACGCGGATGGCATGCTTCTGCGGCGATGTCTGAAGCAGTTCAACAGGGGATTTCTCTTTTCTTCGAGCGGGCTTCACAATGGTGGCTAATTTTCGCATGTTTCATTGGCGCATTTTTTATTTACTGCGATTCCGCGTTTTACGAAATACCAGCTTACCTTCCGTGTCCAATGTAGTCAACTTTTTAAAAACACTCGAGAGCTTTTCTCTAGAAGATTCCAAATCCTTTTGGGTAGCCTCCGGCACATCTGACCCCGTGCTTATTTTGTTTGGAACAGCATCGCGTCGGCCTTGTCAACTTCTTGGACAGTGGGCTTATATAAGTCCTCTACTGAAGCTGATCCCGGTTTAGATTGTTCAGGAAAGATGTGCATTCCTGAGAAGTCTACATGGCAGAAGTCCCGAAACCACGTTTGAGGTTTAGAATTTCTGCCTCAGTAGCAGATGAAACCAGAGGTCGGCACACATTGGTCCAGTAGAGTGGTAATTAATACCTGATCAACGAAGTATCTTTCGTTAGTGATTACCAAATCCAGCAGAGATTGTAGTTGGCCTGCATTGTATCTGGTGGATTCAACGACATGTTGAGTGCACGCCCTCTGTGGAACGACTTCAATCAGCGCAGCTGCGAAAGTCCACCTGATCCGGTTCTTTGGAGCTCCAGGAGGCCTCCGGAGCGTAAAATCACTTATCGGCAGGAGCTGAGCTAAGTGGCAGCTTGAGAAGAGTTGCTCACTTGTTCGTGTGAGGAATCGATCATCTTCAGGGAGACCCGAGGGGGTGAATCCGTGAATAAGTGAATGTGGTACATCACCTTTCACAGCACGCTAGTGACTCTTATAGGCTTTTGGCTCCCAGGCGCTAGTCGGCCACCAGTTCTGTAGATTGAAGTGACAATCGCTTCATTCCAAACAGAGGGCAGACAGCCTTCGTCAAGCGACTGACGACACGCAAGATATAAGCGATTTATCATTGTAAACGAGGTTTGCCTCAGGATCCTCGGAAGGATCTTTTTGGGCCCCAACACGCAGAATGGGTCGCTCTTTCGCAAGAGTTGACTGATGTCCTCCAACATCAAGACCAAGTCGGCTAGAAGCATTTCGTAGTAACGCCTTGACAAGAGTGGATGTGATGAGGACGCTGTGGCTGAATATAAAGCTTATGTAAACCTCAGATACCACCTTTGAGCCGCTTGAGGGTTCTCCGTTCCTGTCCCTCAAGGAGAACGCGGATGGCATGCTTCTGCGGCGATGTCTGAAGCAGTTCAACAGGGGATTTCTCTTTTCTTCGAGCGGGCTTCACAATGGTGGCTAATTTTCGCATGTTTCATTGGCGCATTTTTTATTTACTGCGATTCCGCGTTTTACGAAATACCAGCTTACCTTCCGTGTCCAATGTAGTCAACTTTTTAAAAACACTCGAGAGCTTTTCTCTAGAAGATTCCAAATCCTTTTGGGTAGCCTCCGGCACATCTGACCCCGTGCTTATTTTGTTTGGAACAGCATCGCGTCGGCCTTGTCAACTTCTTGGACAGTGGGCTTATATAAGTCCTCTACTGAAGCTGATCCCGGTTTAGATTGTTCAGGAAAGATGTGCATTCCTGAGAAGTCTACATGGCAGAAGTCCCGAAACCACGTTTGAGGTTTAGAATTTCTGCCTCAGTAGCAGATGAAACCAGAGGTCGGCACACATTGGTCCAGTAGAGTGGTAATTAATACCTGATCAACGAAGTATCTTTCGTTAGTGATTACCAAATCCAGCAGAGATTGTAGTTGGCCTGCATTGTATCTGGTGGATTCAACGACATGTTGAGTGCACGCCCTCTGTGGAACGACTTCAATCAGCGCAGCTGCGAAAGTCCACCTGATCCGGTTCTTTGGAGCTCCAGGAGGCCTCCGGAGCGTAAAATCACTTATCGGCAGGAGCTGAGCTAAGTGGCAGCTTGAGAAGAGTTGCTCACTTGTTCGTGTGAGGAATCGATCATCTTCAGGGAGACCCGAGGGGCTGCGGTAGACCGCACCGATAAGGATAGAATCGGAAACGCGCAGCAGTATTTTGATCCGCGGTGCACTGCAAAAAGGTGGGGGAGTGGCATGAGAGGGGACAACGTGGGCGGACAGAGCCACATGTTCGTACAAAGCAACCCCACCAGCTCTTACTCGGTTTGAGTCAGTTCGAAAAACGGAGTAGCCGTCTATCGAGATCTCCGCGCCAGAGACATCCGGGTTGAGTTAGGTCTCTGTGAGTGCAGCTATGGACAGCTGTTCAAGGTAAGCTGACTGCTTAATAACGCAGAGTTTGTTGAAAAGGCTGAGGCAGTTTGTGGACAAGCATTTTCAACATTCTTGCTGCCTCCGAAAGTGGGAAGTGACCAGTTTGACGGTTGCATGTCGAGTTTCGGTCAAACCTCCGAAGGGGCCTTAGCTCAATATTTTACCCTAAATGACGGGTTTTAAAAAAGTGACAAAATGATAAATCAAAATATGTTTCCCATGTGCTTCCCTGTCGGATGCACCAGTTCACTCCCAGCCATTCAGGGCGGCGGCTTGCTCTCCAGAAGGGGCTGCAATTTTTTTGATGTCCGCTCAGGGCGGAGTAAATGCTGGTCTGCTTGCGAGGAATGGAGGAGTGTCTTGCACGCTGACGCAAAATTTCAGTGTAACAGAGCTGTTTACCATCTGCGGTATGCAACTATCGATTGAACTGATGTTGTTCATAGTGTCTCTTACTTCTATGAATGTCTTGATATAGCAGTTGAAGATTTTGTGCAAATAATGTCGTCGGTTAACTGTGTCAGAACGACTTTGGTAGATAAGAATGTGTCACAGTTAAGGATTCCGAAGGCAA